GATTCCAACATGGGGTCCTTTCACTATATTTGTGACCGCTAAGTTACATGCCCAGGATGTTACATTCCAGGTGCATTCCCAGGTCAATTCACTGGATGTTAAGCATGCCCGCTTGATCGATAAGCCACATTCTAGCATTCTTAACCTGCTTCTTTTTGGGGGGAGGGAACCCTCCCAATGATCAACGAGGTTGATTGATGCGCCGACTGACACGCATATCTCCCTATTCGACAAACAAAAACCAAAAAACATCATATTGATTCTGTTCAGCATAGTTTCCCTTCGAGCTGAGAAGGGTAACCTCAAAAAGGCGGACACCCAAAGCGGTTTAGTCAGGAACTCCCAAACCTTCACTGGGCTGTCCTCAAATCCCCCGCTAAAAGTGAATAACTTTTGGTGGGTTAAATACGGAAATCCAACCACCAAAGACAAAAAAGCATTAAACAGCTAAAAGGCTAAGGAACCGGATGGCTGGGCTTGCCACCAAGATAAACGGGGCCCTTCGGATGTTTTTCCCTCCGCGCCTTGGTACCAAGGGACTTGGCCCCCCACAACCAAGGACCAGGTCACCGCGCAATTGATTTGCCCACCTGACGGCTCCAAAACCCAAACCGGCGCCCTACCGACTACCGGCGGTTTCGGGCATTCCGGTCCAAACAAAACACCGGCCTTTGCGGCCTTCGGAGGTGCGTTTCGGGAGGGTGCCAGTTTGAGGGGATCAAAGGGACATCCAAGGGATCTATTTGGGCACATATTCAGCTTTCCCCCCCCCCAACCATAAGATGCTTGATTCTGGTCCACTTGTCAAACGTCGTAAGATGTCAACGAACTTCAAACGAGATTCCAGAAAAATGGGAGTTCAGTGCTTTCTACTTGGGGGCCGTCATGCCCAAAAAAACAACTCGCACACATTTGAGGCGATTTCCCAGGACAGGGCTGGGAACTCATCACAAAGTATCTCCCAAAACATGGGGGACTTCCGAAACCCCCGGAGCTCCGGGGCCACTCGGCTCGGCTTTTCGTGGGTGTCCTCTTTGGGGTTGGTAAAAGCGGGAAACCAAAAGGAACAGCACCATGCTGAGGGGTCCCCTCAAAACTCAACAAGGGCACACCCAACTGGGGGGTACTCCCCAAGACAAGCCTGATTTCCTTCATCGGCTCCTAGGTTTTCCTCCATTTAAGGCCCCCCGGAGAAGAAACATATTGACATACTTCTAGTGATAGATCCCCTTTTAAACCAAGCGGGGAACAGCAAACAATGACTCAATTTTCAGCCTCACGGGTCGTTTTTTGCTTTGCTTGGCTTCTACTCAAAACAACAACTAGGTCCTCCAGTGGAGAGGTTAGAATAAGGGTACCAACCTTTTTTCTGTCGTCTATTGTAGTAGGGGTTTCCCCTCCCAACCAAAAAAGGGTAAAAGAAACATAGGTTCTAAAATGGGTGGTGAATTCACCCAATCCCCAGCATGGGATCCCAAAACGGTGTTGACAAACCACAGCCAAAATCTTGGCTTCCACTCAAACAAAACTCGGTTGGTGTCTGCTCCCCTGCAAAAAGTTTATAACCTTTCGTGGTTTCATACGGAAAACCCGTTGGTTGGCAAAAAGTTGTTCCGTCCTAACATCCCTTGGCAAAATGCACCAAAGCTTTCAAATGTCCGACAACAACAAAATCCAGTCCGAAGCCACTGATCGTTTTTCATCTTGGCTTCCACTCAAACAACAACATGTCCGTGGCTTCCGCTCAAACAGCAACAACAACAAATGGGTATGGGTCAAAATTGCACCACCAAGGTTTAAGTCCACTTACTAGGGTTCCATTTTGGGTACATATGTTAGACACACAGCCAAATGCCTCAGAGAGTACCTCAGATTTAGTAAACCGTCAAGCGGCAGGTCCCAGTCGTGGTCGTTTCAGCCACGGGTCGTTTTTTCGTTGCTCGGCTTCCACACAAACAACCACAACCAACAAAAAAACGTCCGAGGCTGGCGCCGGAGTGGTGGCCCACGGAGTAGGCCAAGACCAAGATGCCCATGCCAAAGGCCAACGCCACCAGCGTCCGCGCGCTCGAGTCCCCAGCCCCGTTCGCGCACGCGGCGCCACAGCCGATCACCACCTGAGATACGGAGGAGACGAGAGGCGGCCGACGGCCCGGGCTTTTGATCCACCCCATGTAAAATGAGCGCCAAAACCCGGGCGATTTTGGCCTTGGGTGATGAAGTGTTTTTTGTTTTTTTGGCGTCAAACGAGAGACGCATGCATATGATATGATTCATCTTCTCTTCTTCTTTGATTGGGAACTCTATCATAATTCCAGTTACATTCCTAATATTAAAAATGATTCACTTTGCAGCTGTAATAACTTCCCCAATTATCAGCCAAACCCGGCGGTTTTTGCCGTTGCTTGGTGTTTCAGCCTTTGTTGTTTTTCCACGCGTAAAGAACGCAGAAGGGCAAAATGGCCAGGTAAGTTTGGGAAGGGAAACATGATTCATACATTTGTTTGGGAAAAAAGGGAGACCCTTGCTTGGTTGGTCATTCGTTGTAGAGACCAGCAACCATCACACTGGCGCGTGCGGCGGCGCCAGTCAGAACCAGTTCAAATTGAAAACCAACAAGTTAAAACAAGAAAACAAGTGCACATCACCCCCTCCCAATGAAGTTATTAAGCAACACAAAACAACAACACTCACTCGGAGGATCCGTGCAAATACAACATAATACAACACAAACACAATCATATTCTTGCTGCAAAACCCACAAAAACGCCACCTTTGCCAGCGAAAGCCACGAAGAGCGTCATGGCAATGAACTCAGCGACCACGGCCTGTCAAGCCGAAGTCCGAGCGAGCCGCGAGCGGACTTAGAAGGACCTAAACAAGTCGAGCCATAGCCATGCCCGGGTTTCTGAGCTTCAACCTCGTCCATTCTCTACCATCCGAGCCCAAAGAACCAAACATGTTCAGTGTAGCCAGGTCCAAAAAAGTAAGCGTGCTCCCTGGGAAGTTCGCGATGTTTTGAGTAGGAGTACTTCATTGCATTTCATTGTTCTGTATTCAACGAATCGACGCTCGTTGCCATGTCAAATTCACTGCGCCCAGCAAATTCTGCACATGGCACTGATTTGCAAATTCTGCGCTAGATGCAAAACTCGAGCGCGTGGGCACTTTGGCTCCGAGGGATCAGCCACTTGTTGAGCGGGTGCAGTGCTGAGCGGGGGCGCTTGTCATGTGAGTGTGCTTGGAGGAAGATGCGTCCGGGCGGCCAATGGCTAAGTCGCAAAATTATTAGAATGAGGTTGCGCCGGTCCTTGAAAACCAAAATGTATCATGATTACAGGAGTACTTCGCTCGCCCCTTATCATATGCGAGGCCGCCTTCTCATACAAAGTGACCATGCATGCACCGCCCTTCCACTCATTTGGGGTGGGGATACTTTCGTGATTGTGCGGGGATGGCCTACCATGATTAGCAAGGGACAAATCCATTTACTGTTTATGGATTTCACGCGAATCACCACAAAAAAAGAGGTACGTTGGCAACAATGTAGTTCTGTGTATCTCCCACAAGACATGACCAGAACCGAAGAAGAAACAACTCACACACACACGCACATTGCTATTTACAGCAGAGGCAGGAGATTAAGAGGCTTCAAGGGCCCGTAAGTGATCGTGAAACAAAAGTAAAAACTTAGTTTGCTCAACTTCCCTTTGTCTCACTTGGCATTCGCAGAACCACTCAAATCCAACAGTCACCGCAAAAGAAGCGCCTTAGGCCGGGCCGCGCCTTCATATCAATGACACGGAGCCGGGCTTCTCCCGTCTCCGCCATGCCCAAGGCATCACGATCCACACCCCACTTCAGGCCGATCATCGGCATCTCGTTGACTGCAAGGCTGCAAGGCGACGCGTGGAGGGTTGCGACAGCTGCGGGCGGTAACGCGGCGAGCACTGCAGTCCGACAATCACCACCTTTAAGTGGTTGCCCCTGCGCTCGGTAAAGACAAAGCTCAGGTCTCTTTAAAGCGAACCTGCTGAGCCCGGAGTGTTCAAGGGTTGAAACGTTCAGTTCCATCTCCCTGAAACAGATCTTTAGCTGTTCATGGCAGTGAACCAAGCCAATACAAGCCAGCTTTAGACACCCCTTGCACATGTTTAAAGTGTTTGTCAGTCCGGAAGATCTATTTGACAAAGGTCCGTGTGACATGTCGCACTTTGCTTCCAGCCACTTCATGAAGTCACTTCGCCAAAAGTTGTCAAACAACGATGGTAAAGATACCAAAGGCTTTGGGTTTGCAGTGGCCGTCCAGGTACCCTGCTTCCAATCATGGAAGCTGACAGTGTTTGGAAGACTACTCTCCTTTTGGGGAAGGTCTCTGTCCAGTTCCATGACTGGAAAACCCAAAACCACCATCATTGGTTGCGCCGACCCGATCGGCAGAACACTTAGTCCAGGGAAAGCGCAGGAAACCCGGGAAACCCAATGTCTTGCTGGTGCTCAGTAGGGAATGAGTCAGGGTTTTGGCTATAAACCTAGGGCTTCCCTGAAAGGAAAAACAAACGGGAAGCTATTTTATAGGGGGGTGGTTGATCCTTGAGGAACAGTTCGGAGCACCCCCAGGGGAGGGGCAGTCCAGGCCTGGCATAAGTTGATGGAAAGTCGGACGGGAAACCGCGGAAACGAAACACATCTTCTACTCAAACGTGGCTTGGTGATCCTTTGGATCGGACCGGCTGTCCGGTTCAAAGGGCTTCCCGTTGGGTTCCCTGTAAACCGACCCAAAAATCACACCGGTACCCTGAACCCCCCCTAAACCAACCCCAAGCCTAAACCATCCCTATAAACCAACCCTAAGCCCGGCTTAAACCATCCCTAAACCCAAAACCAACCCTAAGCCAACCTGAAGCCGCGCCCTAAACCAATGCAAAACCCACCCTAACGCAAATGCTCGGCCCGAAAAGCGCCAAGGCCCCCCCCCCGTGGCTTTGAGGGCTCCCGGCCAAGCGGAGCCATGGAGCTTTGAGAGGAGCTGCAGCATGCGCCGCATCATGGCCAGGTTGTTGCTGGCCACAAGCAACCGGTTCGCGGCCATTTCTTTTGGAATAAAAACATTACAAATGTATATATATATATATATGTATATTTATATTACTGTTTTAATCTAAAATTGTTGGAACCCCAAATCCCTGCAACCTGAATCACATCTCGGGAACTCCGCGCAATTCGGCAATCAGGCAAATCTGGTCCAAAAGCACCTGATACATGCACTGCCACGCCCTATGGCCAAACAAATCTCATCACGTCCCCAAAATCATGGTTGACGTTGGAAGCGGAGCAAAAAAATCAATCTTAGCAGTTAAGTGGGGATTTCCCACTAAACCACAACAAGCAAAAATGTAAAATGGTTCCCAAGGACAACCATGAAATGGGGCGGACTGACCACGGAGGCTTCCCCACGGCGGAGGCTCGTCGAACCGGAACTCGGCCTCCAAATGGCCATGGACAGGAGCCGCTGCTTCTGGCGCCTCGGCAGCTTGAATCATCCCTCGTTTTGAGGGGTCCAACTACATGACCCACTGTTCACCCGATGAACGGTTCTTTATGAAAAAGGGGGGTGCCTTCTTCCCTGGGTGAGATGTGGGGAATCAGACCACTTTTGGAGGGGCCCCCACCTCCAAATATGAAGACACGTTTTTGTGTATTCATTCTGGGATCAACATTAGCCAACCCCGGAATAATACACGACTTAAAGGGAGGGACCCTCGAAGCCCGAAAAAAAGAATGCGTCTTGTCTCGAGTTGCCATGGCAGGAAAGGGGGCTTCACTATATAAAACCTGGGAGAAACCACGGCCTGCCATTGCAACCAAGAAAATCATCCAATACCGGGGGTGTGACCAGAAGCAAACAACTTGAGCAAACAAACTCCAAACAAAATCCAAGGAGCTATGTCCAGCCCTGGACATTCCCGGTTCGGAGCCTCCACGGAACCCTCCAGCCACCTGCACCAGCCCAAACACATGATGGGCTTCTGCCCCCATAGCTGCTTCCCCCAAGCTGCTCCTTACCCACACGCACGCACATGGGAAGCAGCCAACTTCCACACAGCCAGTTTGTCATGTTCAAAGGATGTTTCGTTATTTTGCCGGTCACGGCCCGATAACACAACGGACGTCGCAAGAGTTTACATTTCCCTAAAGCTAAGAGTGCTGGGCTTGGCCAAGGTTTCCCATCGCCCTTTCCATACCGAGTTGCCTTTCACACCCATAAAAACATAGAATAGGTTGGGGTAGTTGAAAGGCCTGGGGTTTTCAACTTATTGAATTTTCGCATTGGTTTCGGGCGCCAACAATTTGATTGAGTCGGCTGTGGTCGCATCAGCTAAAGGGAAACCCATCACCTTCGCGACTCGAGTCGCGGATGCTGAAAATGGGTCCAAATAAGGACTATGCAAGATCCTCATTATGGCAAAAAACTGTCGGGGTTTGTACTTGAAAAAAGAACAACACCCTTGCAGCCAGACTACTCCCGCTTCTACCCCCTCGCCATACCAAAAATATGTCTGCTTTTGTTCCAGATTTAATGAACTTTTAACACAACATCACCAGCAAATCCACAAAACCCTAACTAATTTGCTCGAAGATGTGGACATATTGGGAACTAGCACCTGGGAGATGCACAACACACGTCACTTTGAGAAGCAACACCGGCACGGTCGGTTTGCTTCGGGACAGTGAGGAAATGATGAGCTTGGGTCGGGAGGCAAACGAATCAAGCGACACATTGAGCCACAGACAATCAAACCAGTTGTCCAGCAAGCAGGGAGTTGTTGGTTCATCTGGGTTAGAACCCGCACACAAAACGTCAAGGTCAACTCCTTTTTGGAAGTACTTCTAACCATACAGCTCACCTAAGTATGACATTCTTGACTTTTGGCCAATGTTGTAACCCCTAAAAAGCCAGGAACTGACTGGTGTCAAACCAACCCCGTGCTTTCTGTGGTGCATCTCTTCCTTTCGTTTTGCAGCCCAGGGCGCTCTGACAACTCCTCACCTGCAGGCGATCCCCAACCCTCGATGGGGCAAACTTGGGTCTGTGTCTTTGGAGGGTACCGAGGGTGCCATTTGTAAGGTCGATGTTTCAGGGGACACCTAAAGGAACAAAACATTTGCTGCGATTTGTTTGGGGGGTCGCCCCATTTTGACACCCGTAAACGAAAAGGTGAAAAAAGAGCTGCGAGTTTGGGTGTCACCCCATTTTGATGTTGTTTCAACAGGCAGGCCTTAGGCAACCGGGTACGGCTTTCCTTGGCTACTGCAACGGCAACTGGGCAAGGGAAGCCACAGAAAACCCTTCGCCGATTCTTGGGGCTCCTGGTCCCGTGTCCCAAGAAGACACATCTGGCAACAACACGCAAACTGGCAACGTCATGCATTCCAAAGTGCTGGCGGCAAAAATGAAAAGACGTCGGTAGCCAAACCTTCCCAAGCGCTAGTCTCCCAGCATCCAGCTGCGGGGCGCACCAATGATAAGAACTCCGGGACCCCAAGCCGCCCTCCAGAGAATCAAACGAGGCCTCAATTTTGTCAAAGGTCTTGCGGACTCCCTCACTGAAAGTTGATGTTCAACACTTCATTTGAAGATGTACCCTCCAGGGGTCCCTTCAAAAGGAAAATAGTCCAAACCAGGACCCCCCGAATGTCAGGTTCCATGTTAATTGATGGAAGGGCACCAAGCGCAATTTCAGCGTCCGCACCTTGAAAGATCCACTCCACCATCTCAGATGTGCACTGACCTCGGGCAACGCCGAACCAGCGCCGGTTTCTGCCGAGTCATGCTGCTCCCAACAGACACCTCAAGTCTAAGTGTACCTAGGTTTAGAATAAGAGTACCTGGAGATTCCAATGCCGAGGAATTCCTAGGCGTTCTGGTTCTCAAGGCGTTTTAGGCGTTTTGCGGTTGTTTGCGCTTTTTTGCAGAAAAAGACGACATTCAACTTGCATCACCTGTTCCAGAACCCAAAAGCACTTGGATTTTGTAACCAACTTCTCAGCCCCTAGAATGTTACTTAGAGTCTGTATGACCGGAGTCATTGTTCCCTGGGTACATTGCCCCATGTTGAGAGGGTCACGGAGACTGCAGCCAGGTCACTTTTTGCACCCAAGCTAAGCACCACCCTTGCCTCTGTCAGTTCCTCAGCTGAAAACCAACTGACTTTGGGTTGGTTGAAAACCTATTGCCATGGAAGAAAGATCGTATTAACAAAAAAGAAGGAATGGCAGTCCAGGCGCCGAAACCGCCACGAGTGGTGGGTGACCGGGCCCCATTAAACCATTAAACCTCTAAGGGTTTGACCAGACGTCATCTCAGTCCCCATTGCCTCGGGGCCTGGCTAACTGCAGGCGGAGACCACTTCGAAAAGGAAGCTGAAAAGGGTGTGTGTGTGTGTGTACCGTCTGATAAGTTGTAGCGATTGCTTGCTGACTGAACAGAAAGCCTTGAAGATGTTTGTTCAACTTGCCTGCCTCTAAACGATGCTCCGAAAGCGACAGTCAAACTCTTCGGTTCGGCTCCGATCAGAGACACCATCAAAATCACCCAGGTGACGGCTGCCCCTTTCGCTTCGAAAAACCACAACTAGGTCCTCCAGTAGAGAGGTTAGAATAAGCGTACCAACTTCTTTTTTGTAGTCTATTTTAGTAGGGGAACCGAATCTCCCAACCAAAAAAGTTGGGTTAAAAAGGGCACCTCCCAACCAAAAAAGTTGGGTTAAAAAGGGCACCTCCCAACCAAAAAAGTTGGGTTAAAAAGGGCACCTCCCAACCAAAAAAGTTGGGTTAAAAAGGGCACCTCCCAACCAAAAAAGTTGGGTTAAAAAGGGCACCTCCCAACCAAAACAGTTGGGTTAAAAAGGGCACCCTTTCGCTGGGGGACCCAGGGAATCCATCCCCTGAACCTTTGCTCTGTCGCTCCGGCTTCGGGCTCCGGGCTCCTTTGGGCCAACAGCTCCGCGCAGCTCTTGGAGCGAGTCCGGCCTCACGGGTCCAAAAAGAAGCCCGGACTTTGGCGGGCCTTTGGATGCCATGTGCACGGTCAAAACGACAAAGATTTTACCTCATTCGAGGGGTTGATCCCTCTTCCATTCTTTTCAACCATCGTTCTGTTCAAAAACCGTATGTTTCCCCTGGTCTTTTTGATGGTTTCCTAAAAAGAAGGATCCCTGGGAAGAATGGAAATGGAAGGTACCCCTAGACTCGTGGGGAAGTTTGGGGCTTGCCTGGTTGGGGCAAAACATGTTGAGCTCCAAAAACGTGGGCAGCGGCTGTGGCCGAAACTACCCAGCCCAAATTAGCTCATGCCGAAGCATTGGGCAAGACTGCCTTGGAAACAATCAATTGAGTCACACTCGAAACCTGGTACAAAAATGGTGAACCCAGAACCATGTAAAGAACCAGAAAGGCGGCCACAACTATTTCCGGCTGGGACTGCCACTTACTAACCTTTACTAACCTTCATCTACCCGGGTTTTGATTGTGGCTCAATTGAATAAGCACATCCCAAAATAACTTTGAAGGTGGGTTTGCTTGAGATCACACAAACTGGCCCTACCTCCATTCCGTCACAAAGGGAAGCCGGGACCTCTGCCGAAGTTGCATGCGAAAAAGGGGCGCCTGTTTTGCTGGTATAGCGAAATTTAGAGGGAAACTCCCTGCAACACAGAGGACCATGTTTTTTGGGAACGGCCCGAAATGGGTAAAGAGAGGTGGTTCGATTCAAGTTGGAGTTCGAAGCCTTTTTCGAAGACAGTTTTCTGCGCACACTCCCGGCCCTCTTCGCGTACCATAGCTGTCTGTTCCCGTGGTAGCACTGGATTTCCTCAGTTCCTATTGGTTTGTGCAGGTTAGATCTAATTTTTGGATGGATTATGATTCCTCACCGTTCACCACCCCCAAAATTCGGGACAACCCCCATAAAAGGAAACGTATGGCTAGGTCACACCATCGATCGGCACAAGGCATTTCTCGGTTGCTTTCTGCTCCCATGCTAAAAGTTTTTAACTTTTAGTGGTTTAATACGGAAAACCCCTAAAAGTTGGCAACAAGTTCAAGTCCTAACATCCCTTGGCAAAGTGCACCAAAGAACAAACTGGGGTTCATTACTCCAGGGTCCAACCGACTCGCTAAGGACTCCCTGTGCTTGCACATCCCCGTGGATCCCAGTTGCCAGCCCTTGTAGTACCCCCTCAAAGATGTTGAGACTCCCAAAGGGCCTATGTCACCGCTGTCTGCCGGCTTGGGCTTGGGCACCAGTACACGCTGGAACTTCGGTGCTCCGCGGTATCGCCTGAGCGAAAGGGTCTCGGGTGACCCCCAGCAAATGTCCATGGAAAAGGGACACCCGTTTGTGGTAGATGATCTTAAGAGTCAAAAACAAACAGACCCCCAGCAAATGTCCATGGAAAAGGGACACCCGTTTGTGGTAGATGATCTTAAGAGTCAAAAACAAACAGACCCCCAGCAAATGTCCATGGAAAAGGGACACCCGTTTGTGGTAGATGATCTTAAGAGTCAAAAACACACAGACCCCCAGCAAATGTCCATGGCCTGTTGTGGTAAATGATCTTAAACGTCAAAACCAAAGGGAACAAAGTTGGCACTGGTGTCTGGTGTCTGGGCCATCAAGATTGCAGGATTTGTAGACAAGCAAGCCCGTCCATTCCGACGCATGGAGCCTCCGGCGCGTTTTCACCCAACATGCCTTCGCATGAAGGGACACCGCCATATTTCAGTACGGCACATGGGCCAATGGGCGGGGGTCATATCATATTAAGAGAAGGGTACGTCCTGGGCTTTGTCCTGGGATTTTTTGCACCCAAGCGCTCTTGTCATGTCATGTGACTTGCCTACTTGGAAACCCCAAACCGAAAAAGGAGGCCCTACGAATATCCTGCCCAGCCTCGCTCGAGCTTCCGGGCTCTCTGCGTCAGACTCCTCCTCGTTTCCTGAACTCAGCCTCAGGGACCCGTCCAAAGTCTGCCTTGTAAATGGTGGGTTCCCTTCATTTTGGTGTTGAAAAAGCAACATGTTTCAAATGGGCGAAATGTATCTTTTAAGGAGCCCTGTGGAAGTTGAAGTTGCTTGTTTCAAACAAATGTGTGTGCGTTGTTCCCCAACAGCGGAAAGCGTTGGGGTCTCAGCCCAGATAGGCGGGGTGGTCCGGGGCGGCCCTGAGGTAAGGTTCCACCAGGGTTCCACCAGGGTTCCGCCAGGGTTCCACCAGGGTTCCACGAGGTTCTGCGAGGGCTGCGGGGGGGTGCGAGCACTAAAAAGAGCACCGCATGCTGTTGGGGATATCACCTGAGCTTCATTTTTTGTTGAACGAGAATTCCACAGCTTGAATTCAAGGAGACTGGTAATTTGTTCCTTGTTGGGAAGATGTGGGAACCACTACCATAGTCCAAACTCCCATGCCGGGGTCCATGAGTCCCACTAAACCTCCAACAACCTGAAGTCGGCTTTGGATCCCAAGGTAAAGAAGCTCAGGCACCTTCCGAATCGGTGAGCTCGCCGGCTCGGCAGATGCAACCGAATTGTTTTCGATTCACCATTTCAAGATGAACTCCAAATCAAGATGATCGGATAATAAGGCTCATATTTCTCATAGCGGGAACGAAGATGGAACTGGATTGCCAATGTAGACCCACACTCAAGGATTCGCGTGGGAAATCAACTTTGTTTTTGGGCAACCCTTTATGGACAGCAGCCTTTGGGTATCGCTTCCAAATGGAACCCCAGCTGGTCAAAGGCTGAGTCACAATCACTTCTGGAAAGGGCATCAGGCTTCTACCGGTTGGGAGAGAAGTCTCCTAAGCGTCATCGAGTACTGGCAAGAGAAAAACACTTCAAAGAACTCAGAAACTGTTCTTAGCGTACATAGGCTACATGGGAATTGCGCCCCTTTGGCTGTGGCTCAAAATTAAACAGGGGGGGGGTACGCAGGTGTTGGTCCAAGTTTCCACTTACCAGGGCAACCCATATTGGAATTCCGGTTTTTTGAGCCACAGCCCTTTGAGTCGGTGCCCCATTCATTCAGCCGTATCAAGGGCAGTTGTTTTCCAGCCCTTGTCCTCCCTTCCAACTGGACCATCAAGATACACCCCGCAGCTCAGATCGAAAGCTGAAGGTTTCCAAGGATTTGCCTTCTCTTTTGGCGCGTGCCAATTCGATTTTTTTACTGGATGGTCTGGGGCCAGGTGTGACAGCGACCTGTGGCTGACACTGGGATCTCAAACTGTCTTGGCTCCAAGGTGGGTGTCTTTTGTGAGGGTACCCCCTCTTTTGTGGCTTAAAAAAGCGACCCTTTCCGTCTTGTTTTCCTTTGTTTTCCTTTGGGAGGGGGATCCTAAAAAATGGCTCACTCATTTGCATTTGTTGGGCTCCCAGCCATGCGCAAGCACCGGCGAAGCGTGTTGCAATTTCTCGCGTGAAGTGTGTGTCCCACTCAGAGGCCAGGCCCCGATTTTCCCTGAGACCCGAATCCCCGGGCTCCAGCACATCAATTCAAGGCACTGCCCCCCCTTCATTTCAACAAATGGAGCAGGCCTCAAAAAAACAAAAGTGACACACCAAAAATATGCCTCTTTTTGGGCGGCAAAACATGCCGATGTTCTTTTTCTGCAGCGGTTGGTAGGGTTTGCTGGGTCTCAACTGCCCTAAATCGGTGGGTGGCCATGGGTCAAAATCCCGTACCCTCAGTGAACATCCCAATCTCCACTAAGATAGGTTCTAAAATGGGTGGTGCACCTTCCCAAAAATGGGACACACCCGGGCGGCAACGGCTCATTCCTCCCATGCCACGCGGCATGTCCGCCCCCTGCTTCACCAGCTCCGCACAGAGCGCTGTGTCCAGCTCGCCTTTGGACCTGCAAGCACAAGCAAAGAAACCACGAGCCTTTTAATCTCGCTTGCTTTCTGCTTCCCTGCTAACAGTTTAACTTTTGGTGGTTTGATACGGAAAACCCAGGAGTTGGCAACAAGTATTCCAGTCCTAACACCCAAGCAAAATGCACCAAAGTTTTGGGTGTAGATGAACGCTTTAAGAGATTGCCCAACTGGTTAGGTCAGTTTTCCAGATTCCATGTGAATCTGCGGACTGTGTTCTATGCGTGTTTTGTTTTTTTTGCCGGGGGGGGGGGGGGGCTCTTTTTTGTTTGAAGGGTTCCAACTAAATTTGCATCGAGCAACATCCGCCTCGGCATGGCGCTATTGAAGATATCATTCCAAGAGCAAATGCCCAATCTAGAAACATCAGCCTCACCCAAAGAAGACATATCTGTCCTCAGATCCCCCGCTAAAAGTTTAGCATTTGGTGGATTAAATGGAAATCCCCACTAAGCACTAAAAAGCCAAAAAGGCTAAGGAACCGGATGGCTGGGAGCCACCAAGATCACTTTCAGACCGCCAAACAGGTGCAACTGCCCTTCAAGAAGTAGAGCATATCTGGCTTCCGAAGGTCCAAAAAACCAAAAGGCGATTAGAAGGAAGCAATTACCATTTGGTGTCCCAAAACAGGGACCCAAATCAACCAACCACCTGAACGGTCAAAGTGACTCCCTGCACAAAGCTACGATCCAATGGTTGACGGTGGAAACAGCCGGTTTACTTCGGTCAAGCCAAAGAAGAACCTATATAGGCGAAACATGTGCACCCTCAAGGACGCAACCGATTCCACATGTTCGCTCTTAAACAACATAGTTATTAAAAGTCAGCGTGAATCAATGTGGGCTCAAACAAGTTTTTTCTTACAGCAAGGTAGTCTTCGAAAAGGAAGTCTACAAAACACAGACTTCAAACTGATACTCTTCAAGAAAGAAGAAAGTCTTCAAAAAGGTTAGTCCCCAGCCAGGACTTTCCAGCAAAGCTGTACCAAGCCTCTGGCGCCTGTTCCCTCACTCCTCCAACCCGCCTTCAACCATCACATCACATTCAAGCAAACCAAATCCAGTCCGCTTCTCAATGTTTTACATGATAGTTCTTCATGGATGTCATGCCATCATATGCTAAAATATCATATCAGGTCAGATCGGATTCGCATCACGTAATCATTATGTGTATATCCATGTGTGTGTGTGTGTCTAGAATACGCATTATCATGAGTGTGTATTGCTATTTTAAACCTGTTATTATTATTTGTTGTTGTTGTGGTCGTGGTTGTGGCTGTGGTTTGTGTTTGGCGTTGGTTGTGGTGGTTGTGGTGGTTGTGGTGGTTGCGGTGGTTGTTGTTGTTGTTGCTACTGCTGCTGTTGCTGCTGTTGTCAGCATCATCATGATGGTTCTCATTCTTATGATTATATGTGTGATTGTCATTGTTAGTATTATTGTTATAATACTATGAATAGCGCTGTGGTGATCATTGTCGTTGTTTTGCGGATGATCATCATCATCGTCGCTTGCATGATGGTTGTTGTCTTTATGCTTGTTATACCTGTTGTATGTGTTTTTATTGTGACTCATAATACTATGAATATTGTTGTGGTGATCATTGTCGTTGTTGTGCGTATGATCATCATCCTTGTCGCTTGCATGATGATTGTTGTCTTTATGCTTGTTATCATGGTTATATGTGTTGTTATTGTGACTCATGAATTAAGGTCTAACATATCGCATCACGGTATTTAACTACAATTATGCACATGTATAATTTCTATATATAATAATTATATTTCTACATATGCTCATAGATTCATGGTGGTACAACTATACATACCTTCCATGTGATTAAGTGTCCTGAAAAAATAAACTAAACATGTCCAGTAGTCATAGATTCCCTTTAAAACCAGCAGGGGGAAAAATAAGAAAGAACAAACACAATAACACATTTCAGCAAATGGGCGATATGTAGAATCTCTATAGAATATTTACGTGTGTATATATATATATATATTAGTATGGTTTAATACATATGCTCATAGATTCATAGATTCATAGTGGTAGGACTATACAGAGATCCTTACATTATACACCTGAACATTGCCTTGTAACTGGTGGTTTCCCTTTATTTTGGTGTTGAAAAAGCAACATGTGTCAAATGGTTGCAAAATGTATCTTTTGAGGAGCCCTGTTTTTCATCTAACGATCCACCGCTCCTGGCCAACAGCTCCCGCAGCTCCGCCGTGACCGACTCGCGGCGCGCCGCCTGCCGAGATCCGCCGAATCTGCGGAGGTGATTCGCGCCGGGCCAAGGCTTGGGGGGATACCAAAGCCTTCGGCAGTGCTAGGGGGTGTTTCCTCCAAGCAGTGAAGGCTTTCCTCTAAAATGGGACCTCATCAAACAGGGGTGCATTGTTATTTGGTTGACGTTGGAAGGGGAGCAACAAATGGAATCTTAGCAGTTAAGTGGTTGGATTTCAACCTCACTAAACCACAATACGCATAAGTTTGTGAAATGTTTCCCAACAACAAGCATGAGGGGTCGATTGTTCCGCGAATGGGTCGCCCGGCCATGGAAAAAGGGCAACATCTGGATTTCACTTGTGTGTCATCCAGTATTCGGGTTGGTTCTGGGTGACCCAGGTACGAAACAAAAATCGACACCCTTCGCTCCGGGAGTCATCCTGATGAGTGACCCGGGACAACCTTTAAGTCACCGTTTCAGTGTCGGGGCGCCAATTCCACACTCACCAATTGAAGGAAAATCAGATAGTAATCAACGGGATGGCGTTGTGGTTGGCTGGTTCACCCTATGAAACACACGCTCACTGGGCAAACCCCAATTGCCTATGAGGCCCCTTTGAGGGGTGCCTTTGCAAGAATGCCGACAGGATCCCCGCAATCAAAAGGGCGTCATGTTCGGCAACACAAGGCCAAGCCAAAATTTTCCGGGCTGCGCAGTCAGGAAAAGAGGAACAACCTGCTTTGTTCTCAGCCCAAAGCCCTTGGATCGTTCCAAAACGAATTTGATGCGGGGATTGACAGTATCTTTGCCAGAATCGCGGGATTCGAGCATCGGCAAGTGACTGGTTTCATGGTCTTTGTTCAGTCATGGTTGATCCTGCAATCCGTAGCGAAGGATTTTGAGGGGAACTGAGGCAAGCAGGCCCCTTTTTCCTAACTCTCTCAGTGCACATGGGGTCCACTTCCAATGGTTGGTCAAATATCCCCCATCTTCAGGTCTCAACTCGGCCTTGCAAAAGCCCCCAAAAAGAAGAAAAGTCAGAGGTTCGCCTCTGGTTTGTTTTCCCCAACTGTCGAAACCTTTCGGCTCAGAGATACCATGGCAGGTTCGAAGGGTTCTTGACAAGACAAGGGCCATCCCACTCAATTCGGAATGTTCAACCAAAAACCTCGCCCTCCCCTCAACATACGTAGGTGTATACATGTACATAGCGAATATGTGCCAATGGTCAAGACTGACTTGTAAAGGTCATGGTCCTAGTGGCGGGGAATCCTTACAATGCTTGTTGGCGTTCCCCATTTAATCATGCTCTCGCCGCCAGAAACAGCTTTACGCGTAATCCCAAGCGACCTGTTGTTTTGACCAGCATTTCCTGACCCAAGAGGGCACTGAACAATTGGATTCGGGCCCCTGGCTTGTGGGACATTTGGGAGTGCCCCTCTTCTCGCCCTCCCCAAGCAAAACGATCGACTGCCAGCATTGAGTTCATTGCTCGCATGAGCCACAGTCAGAGCTACTTGTTTCTCCCAGCGACATGGGAAACGTAGCGAGTCACTGGTTTTGCGTGGAAACTTAGTGAGTCCCCGATATCCTTCCCAAATGGACTACACCAATCATATTTTTTCTCTCTGGCCTATGGCCTTTTGGATACGGATTTTTTCGCCTCGAACCACTCGGTGCCCAGCATCTTCTGCAGAAAGAGGCTGTACCGGTTTTGCAGTTCTGGCACGGGCTCGGCGCCGGAAACTGGGTCACACCCTCCCAACATGGAAGCTGACCGGCGGATCCTGGATCCGACCATCCTCCACAAGGGACGTTCCAATTTGTGGGTTCCATGTTCGTGGACATGAGGCCCTTTGCCAATATGAGGCTTTTAAGCCTCGTGCCTGAGCATTCACAGAACTTTGGCCGAATTACTTTTTGGACCTGAAGACACGAACCCCCACGGAACCCTTGAGAGGGCCAGGGCTCGCTGCTCGGATAGATGGCGCAAAAAAGCTGAAACCAGCCCCATCTGTTTGTAAAGACAGACAGTTTCATAAAGACTACGGAGGTCATTGCATTTTCCGCCCAAGAATCTCACCATGCGAATGGCAATTTTTCGTGCAATCCGGGTTTCCCACAGTGACTGCTGCGTCCACTTCTTGGATGTTCAACCCACAACCATGGTTACAAGTGGGGAAGCTGGGGTTAGTCCCGCCCGCGAAGCCACCCCAGCACCATGGAAAAGGCAACCAGCAATGAAAAAGCACAAATTCATCCAACATGGCCGTGGGACAATTGTGGATGAACCAGTTCACCGGTCACCTCCTGTTTAGACATGTCTAAACTACGCGCATCTACTGTTCAACCGCGGCCGTGCTTTCAGAGAAAGGCTAGCACCCAGATGTTGAAACAGATTTTGCCGAACCTTGAACAGGGATCCTTACCTGAAAACCATCTCAACATTGCCTTGTAAATGGTGGTTTCCCTTTATTTTGGTGTTGAACAAGCAACATGTTTCAGGTGGTTGCAAAATGTATCTGTTAAGGAGCCCTGTTGAAGCTTTGCTTGCCTGTTCCACCCCAAAAACAAAGGTTGCGCATCCTAGAACAATGGCCCCTATGGGGTAGCGGGTTGCAGCCATACAACTAGTAAACAATTTCTCCAAGGAGTAAACCCGAATACTAATCGATAAATCCGGATACTGATCAGGGAGTTCCTGTGATCAGATTGGTGGTTTGGTTGTGAAGGAGGGCCATTTACCCTCCACAAAAGCCAAGGACCCGTTCAATTCCAAAACCACCACTCGAAATGACCATCTGATTTGAAGGAATCAATCCATACTCCCTTGAGAGGAAACTTCAGATACATTGAACTCAACATGCTATCAACCCCCATATCAACCCCTATGTCTGGATCTTGGACCAGCCTGGGGATTCTTATGCCCCAACTAAAACCCAACCCCAGCTCCACCTTTTGGCCTCCCACGCCTCCGCCTCCTCCGCTCCATCCGCCTCCGCTCCGCGCCCCGCCCGCCGCACGTGGGACCGCGTGGACCGCGCCTGGCGCGCGGCTTCCCTCGGCCTGGCGCAGCGCCGTGAAGGGCGCGGTGCCCAGCACCTGGTCGAAGGCCACCGGCGCCTGCGCGGAGAGCCGCGCGCGGAGGCCGGGCGCGGAGGCGGAGAGGCCGGGGCTGGAGTTGCTTTACCCGCTTTTTTGGGGGAAGGCCACATGGAGTGCCCGGGGCTCCCGGTTTGGGACATGGCAACTTGTTGAGGCCAAGGGGAGCTTCACCCAAAAAAAGTCAGGAAATCGGGAGCAGCCAGCAGATCCAACAGCGTTTAAAAAGGGATCTGTTTGATTGAGCTTGGTGACGCCCCCTCCCCCTTGTAAGGCATTTCCAGTCCCAAGAGCTTTGTGCCATGTTTTGTCGGCTTCACTCCAAAATGAGGTTGTATTGTAGACCGCGAACAGTTTCTGGTGGGATCTCAGGAGGTTTCGGAGTTCAGGGTAGACTCATTTAGCGAGTGCAAGTGCAAGTGTGCAAACCGCAGTCAACATCCACTAGGGCAGCATATGTTTTCCATGGCTCATTTCTTATATCCTAATTTCATCCTGGACTGAGTCCTGTCTCACATGTCTGGCTCCTTCTGACTCTCGGAAGGCCTCGATTCCGAGACCGAAGATAATGCTGGCCTCAGGAAATGTCAGAGCGACGACGGCCAAGCGCGTGAACATCAACGGACCAATTGGTGCGGTTGCGCCCTGGGCTTTTGCCAAGTTACCAAATCAACCATAGGTCGCAGGGGTTTTGGGGTCAATGAACCTTGTGGGACAAGAAAATCAACTCAAGTTTTGGGAAATGAACCCTTTGGGATTGGGGAATCAACAGGGGTCGCAGTATACTTTGGTCAGATTGGTTGGTCAAACAGTTTCCAAATCTCCCTATTTACGGGAGGAAGTGGGGGGTCCGGGGTCCCTTTCAACCCCTTGGTGTGCTAGCAAACCACTTTGTTCTTGGCAAATCCCACCATTCCAAAAGCAAACACGGCAAATTGCCATGCGGACTGTGCAGAATAGACTCGCTTGCCTGAATGGCTTGGCAAAAAAAAACATCTTACACGTTTGGCCCCGAAACTTGGAGCAAATTTTGGGAACCAAAAGGGCAGAAGTTCATCGCCACTTTGAACCCGGCGAGCCTTTCATCGCCCGAGTTCATCCCATCAGATTCATGTCCAAAGCCATCAGCTGGGAGAACGGGGATTCCGACTGCAAGACTTGTTCCAGTCGTCATGACTCGTTTGGGGGATCGGTTTTTGGCTCACATCTGTGGTGTGCACGCTGTGGAGTGGCATGCACCATCTAATCAAGCGCTGGCGCTGAATGGAAGCCGTGCCCGGCCAAGGGCCTCAATCCAATCCCTAAGCTTTGTTCATTTGATTTTCGTCTAATCCACAGGACCAACCTCATCCAAGGAATCCCCCTATGCCCACATTGGGTCTGCCACCCCTACTTAGTATGGCCCAAATCAATCCAAAGTGACACGGTGACACGGGGCATAGGACAAGAATAAACCTGAAACAACTGATAATTGTCAGAGTCACCTAAGACAAATCCGGATGTTGAATAAAGGGTCCGGAAAACTGAGGCAATTGTCTATCCCCTTTTGGTTTCTTTTTGGAAAAAAAACACATGTTGTCAATCTAGCACACCAAGGAGAGCATGATTTCTACCGGTTGCCTAATATTTGATGGGTGTTTTTGCAACCATTCTGCCGCGACCTCTGAGCAAAGGACCATCATGAGCTCATCTGGGAGCTTCGGACCCCCATTTTGGTTGGCGTTTGAAGGGAAACAGAGGTAAACCACCCTTTTTGGGCAACTGAGGCATCCGATTCCTGCTTTGAGAAGCACCCATCCTATCCCGTGAGCTCGCCATTCGAAGACATCGAAGAAGCGGTCGACCCGATGCAGGTGTCCCAAACCAGTACATGTCCAAGGCATCTCTTTGGGTTGACTTGAATGGGGTTCCTCCGACCAGAGAAACAGAAGGGAATTGTTTGACTAGGTCCTCCAGTAGAGAGGTTAGAATAAGGGTACCCTTTGTCTGTAGTCTATGTTAGTAGGGGTTTCCCCTCCCAACCAAAAAAGGGGTGAGAAAGAGCACCTAGCTGGACACCTAAGGAGTGTTTTCCACCAAAAAGAGGTGCTGCCAGGAGGTTTCTCTCAGGCCGCGGCCAAGAGGGGCACCGACTTGCCAGAGGGCAGATGTGGAGCTAGTGCCTCCTGGTTCGACCCAAATGGTCAAACCGTTTGCAATGATCCAGTAGTTCCACTAGGGGTGTGCTTTGCCACGAAAGTAGGTAAGCAGGTAGTGTACCTCTAGTTCTTCCCCCTCACATTCTTTCATGGTATTCCCAAGCACTCAGCGGCCCGGTCGAAACACCTATAATTCGCAACTAAGATCAAACACGGAAACTACCAAGTTGTCCCTGGAAGAGAAGCATTGCCTTCCAGGATCCAACTCCATGTTAGTTGCTAGGTCCCCCCCCCCAGGGATGCAATTTTGAACGGCTTCCAGAAGTGTGCAACCCGTGCAACCCTTTTGGCACTAGCTTGGCCAGAGTTTGACCGGGCCTCTGCGAAAAGTGATCTTGTTTGCGGATAGGAAAAACCAAGGATAGTCCAAAAGGGCAAATCGGCAAACAGTGGTTCTTGGGTCCACAGTTCCCTAAGTTAGATTGTCAAAGCTATTGCAAACCGTTGGCTAAGTCTGGCAATGTTCGTACTTCAAAGGTTGTGTAGAGCCCAGGATGTCACCTGCAACCAGAGGCCCTGAAATTCTCTCAAGTGCGCTTGTCTGTTGCTGGTCTGAGGAGCCTAGAAACCTTGCACCAACCCTTCCCCCCCCCCTTCCCCCCTTCCCCCCTTCCCACCCCCTTCCCCCCTCCCCCCCCCTTCCCCCCTTCCCCGCTCCCCCCCCCTTCCCCCCCTTTTTTCGGTGCGCAAAAGCCTGCAGGCAACCCTTGCACGCCATAAATTGGATGCCGCTCGCTCGGCCCATGGCAAACCCGGGTGACCTTTGCCAACATTTTCGGAACCCAACACTTCCATTTGCGTTTTCGCCCCCTAATAATAAACAATTACAATTATTTCCAGATTCCCTTTAAAAGCAGCAGGGGAAAATAAACACATATTCTTAAGCAAGTGGAAGAAAAGGTTAAGCCATCAACTCGAGCCACAGTGACTCTCACCCAAGCAAGGATAGTATAATGATCTTCATGACTTACAGAGTTGCTTCATGAAAAAAAGGACCTCCGGAACATCCCTTCTGTGATTGACCCTGCAAGTCATCCGCACATCGCACTTCAAGTTGCCCCTTCTTGCCCATGCTTCCTCAATCCGAAAGGGTTTGCATGAGTCCGTGGCTCCCATGGAGGGTAAACGGGGCGACTGATCTTTTGAAACACCCCAACAATCCTTTCGGTCGGAGGCCGGACTGCCAGAAGGTTCCTTGGGTGTTCCTGTAGGTCTCGTGAACTTTGGTCAGCCCAACTCCGAGAAAACGGGTTCCCAGTCCTGTTTAAACCGTAGAAAAAAACACCATACTTCAGAGCTCCCTATATGGCCATGGGTCAAAACCCCGTACCCCCAGTGAACATCCCAATCCCCACTAAAATCGGTTCAAAAATGGGTGGTGAATTCACCCAATCCCCAGAATGGGAGCGCACTGGTTTTTAACCATGGCCATATTTGACTGTGGGTCAAAAACAGGTAACCAAACTGGAACCCTGGTAAATGGAAACATGGACTAAAACCTGCGGTCCATATGGTGGTTCAATTTTGACCCATGCCCATTTCAATCTTACCTGGAGCCCAAAGCCCCCGCGGAAAAACTTCCAGCTCCCGCCTGCATGGCCCGACGCTGGCTCCGCGGCAGCTTCAAGAGCTCTAGGAAGGTCGCCTACGGCCGCCCCAGAAAAATCGCCCCAAATGTCACCTTTGCTTTGGTCGTTGGAAGGGAATGAGACATGGCATGACCCCACTTCCCGGTTATTCTGGTTCATTTGGGATTCTTGGGCAATTCCTTTCGGGTGATTTCCCTGGGGTGTAAGGGAAAAGTGCTTAGAGAGCTGCTAGACTTCTCTGGGCTAAGCTTGGTTGGCGATGGAAGGGGAGCAAAAAAGATGAGAAATTTTAGCAGTTCAGTGGGTGGATTTCCACCACTAAACCACAATACTGTAAGCACACATGTAAAATGTTGCCCAGCAACAACCATGTTTGCTTGGTGCGACAGGCAGGGAATGAGACATGGAATGACCCCCAACTAAACCATCCCCGATTTGGTTTCATTTGTTCGGGAATCCCCAAGCCATCCCCGATTTGGTTTCTTTTCGGGAATCCCCGAAACGGTTCATTCCATTTCTCATTCCCTGCTCACCAGCAAGTTTGTAGCATGCTTGGGTTTTCTCGGTGGGAATGTGGAAAAGGACCCCTGCCTCTGTGGGATTCCCATACTTGGTCAAGGGATTCCCGTCTGCTTCTTGCCTGAGAAGAAGCCCGGTGGTGTACCCACATCCCTCCTGCTCTTATTGCAAGGCTCCCAATACTTCACCAAAAGAACACTTCCTTGATGTTTGGCAAGAGGTGATTCTTTAAACCCGCAAAAGGCAAGTATGGGGCACCTTGCCCCATGCTTCTTGTGGGGGTGATTCAAACCCAGCACCGACCAAAAGGGGTCCTTTCTTCCTCGGTTGAATTGCTTGCAAGGTCCTTCAAACATTTCCTCAGTCAACTGACTTGAAATTTGGCGCAAAAGATGATGTTTAAGAACCACAAGGGAATACTTCTTGGGTGCAGAATCAATTTGTTTCTTTGTTTGTTTGTTTCCCTCTGATTCCAACATTATGCATTCAACAATACGTCTGTCCAGCACCCCTGGCATCATCGACAAGCTGCAGGCTCACAATAAAGCCCCGGCACCCACCCTTCGACACAAGGTTCCCCTCCGTGCACCATTTGGTGGCCTTACGAAAGATGAGCACATTCAAATGGCAACACAAAAGGGTTTAAAGCTTGCTCATGCCACAGGGAATGAAGCAATGAATCCAGGAATTGGCCCCCTTAAAGGAAACCACCCGTTGGATGGTTCATCTTGGGGTCATTCCCTTTCTCGGTTGCTTTCTGCTCCCCTACTAGATTCACTTTTGGTGGTTTACTACGGAAAACCCATTAGTTGGCAAAAAGTTGTTCAGTCCTAACATCCCTTGGCAAAATGCACCCAAGATTTCCTGCCGATCGCACCAGCAAGAAAGGGCTCAATGTTTGGAATGGGCAAAGGCCGGCCTCGTTGGGTACGGCACCGTGTCTCAGCAGGTGCTGCACGAGCTCCAGGTTGCCAGCAGCCACCTCCACATTTTTGGGCGCCGGGGGGTTCCTACGGTTGCTATGGACGAAATCCAATGCGCACCACCTAAGAAACCATGGGAAACCATTGTTTGGTGGTGTTTACAGGGGAATCCTTATTCCAAGGCCTTCTTATGGTTGCTATGGTTCCCATGGTTCTCATGGTTCTCATGGTTGCGCCTTCCAAGACAATGGGTTGCTATGGTTCCTCTGGCTGTCGTTATGCCATCGGCTTGTCTCCAAATCAGAACGGCCAAATGGATGGTGTTCTTTTGGTCACTCCGAGGCCGAGCATCTGCGCAAGTTGGACTCACAAGAAAGGAGGCTTCATGGGTGTCGTAGCATCCTTAGAAAGGGAGTTCCTCTAAAATAGACATGCTCATGTGTTGTCAAAATCATGCACTTGGTCAAACTGGCCAACAAACATATGGAAAACAACACAGTCAAAAGGATGGTTTTGGACCAGTCAGTCACGAAGAGGACCGCCTAGGCTTTAGTACGTAATCTACCTACCTCTTCGGCTGGGGGTGTCGAAAAAACAACGGTTCCCTTCAGAAAAACCTGGCATTGAAGGTCAACCTATGGTAAGTCCGAAGGGGGGCCCTTTTTTAGATCTGCTCAGGCGGGTTCGCCCAGTTTCGGTAGGCGGTCCTCCGAAACATACGGGAAACCAGTGGTTGAAATGTGGTGAGTCCATGAACCGAAACCCAACCGAACCACAGACTGCACTTCCCACAAGTGTTGGTGCCCATTTCATGGGAGCGAAGGTAAAATCCCTTACCACCTTTCTGGGGAAAGTGGGCTTTGACCACCACAGAGTCACTGAGCATCTGTTAGGTCGCATTGGTTAAGGTACAAAAGCCCGCGACTTCAAACGTGCTCTCCCTTGCGAAGCAATTAGAATCACAACCCAGATCATGGGCACACAGACATATGTTCACATATCATGTCGTCTAATCTAAGTCTACCTCAAACAATTCCGCATTGAAAAACAAAGACATCTTAAAAAACAAGCCGAAGCCCCCGCTCCCCACTCTCCCGCTATCCCTCTAAACAAAAGTCTCCCCCCGAAGCCCACCCCCCCCCCTCAGGCCGCCAGGTGCAGCGGCAGTGCCCGGGGTTCCGAAGGTCTCGAGCGAGCGCGAGGGAGAGGAGACGACCCGATGGGGCCGTGGGCTCAAGGGAAAGTAGTCATCGGAGAACCAATGGGATCTCGGCGCTGTAGGCCGAACATGGGCGTGTTGATTTTTGAGGGTTCTCTTGTTGGGTTGGTTTTAAAAGCGTCACAACATTTACACAACCATTTTGGGGTGTGCATATATATATATATATATCTAAGATTATATCTATATATGTATGGTCGCCCCCCCCATCAAGATTCGCGCTTCGCCTCTGCCGGGGGCTCTTGCAAGTCAATCTGCCTCGCGTAGTGCTTCTGAACAGCAAAAACACCGCAAATAGCGGTATTTTGTGAAGATAGTAAAGTTCATGCAAACTTGCAAGCAACTGGTTGATGTTGATAAGAACCCATAAACCTGAAACAGATTCCGTTTAGGATTTTGGCTTCTGTTGGCTTTGGCTTTGGCAGATGGTTTTTGCTTCTTGGAAAGCAACAAATAGGCACACTACAGCACTTTCAGCACCTCGACCTCCAAACGTGTGGCACTGTCCCTTTTTTCTGCTTCTTGGACAAAGCAACTCCAAACCACAGCACTTCACACTTGGCACATCTTGGCACCCTTCCATCTGCTGTCTGCAAAACAAATCATCTGCTGCCACTTCTTCTTGGAAAATACGGACAGTTCCACACTTTTGAAGGTCGAGGTGCTGCAAGTGCTGTACTGTCCCAGTGCTTGGCTTTCCAAGAATCAGAAAATAGGGACAGTTCCACAGTTTTAGAGGTTGACGTGCTGAAAGTGCTGCACTGTTCCTATTTTTTGCTTGCAAACCTTCAAAAGTGCTGAAAAAACAGAAAACCAATTATCTTGGAGTCTCCAGCTTGGCCCTTCTCCAAGACTCCAAAATAATTGTTGCTTTTTCAAAGTTTTCAAGCAGAAAATAGGGCAGTTCCACGAGGTGCTGAAAGTGCTGTACTGTCCCTAATTTTGCTTCTCAAGAAGCCGGAAAATACGGACAGCTCCACACTTTTGGCGCTGAAAGTGCTGTACTGTCCCTTTTTTTGCACTCAAAGGAGCTTTCTCGCCTCAGATAGGCGAACGCGGAGACAGTACAGAGGAAGAGATAAAGCAAACTGAAGCAGGCTTGAACAGCAACCATTTCACAGAACAAAATGGCACACAGGTCCTGCCAAGTAGCCATCTGGTGAGTGGCCAACCAGGACTGCAGGTCCGTCGGGGGCGGGTTCCGCTGCCCATGCCTCTATCATCCGCACCACTTCTGCGGGCAGTTTTTTGAAGAGAAGATTGGACATCCCTACAGGTAGACGGAACTTTTCAAAAGCTACAGAAGATCATGTGTTGTTTCACCTTCCTTTGGCCTCTTTCCATGACAGGCCTTGCGATTGTTTGGGAGGCTTTTTGGAAGACACTTGACAGATAGTTGTCCGTGAGTTGTTCGATAGTCTGCCAGACAGACAGTTGACAGACGAAAGCCGCTGCGGATCTTGGGGGGGGGTCGAGCATATATATATATATATATACACACACCTATATATATATATATATATATGTATTTGAGACAACCCGCATTGGCACTCCAAACAGGAAGGTCGATTGGGCAGGCAAATGACAGCTTGTCTCTGGGAGTTGCTTTTCAACTAGTGCCCCCCACACTGAACTCAATCACCGAACTGGGTCAAAGGCAAACCAACAAGTTGTTTCGAACGCATCTACCCGGGAGGCATTTCGAAGAGTACTGTAGTAATCGAAACCCCTGTCAGCTTCCATGGTTCAAAGGGTCAACATCCTGAAAGGTGCCCGCTGAGCTCTCGATAAGTGCAGGTCCATTGGGCCCCGGTGTTACCTTCCAAGATTGGCGAAGAACCACCGAAATGGCAGAATTAACCACACCCATTTGCAGGTCAGACGAGAAGCTATCGGTAGGTTCCTTGCCACAAACAGACAGTAGCAACAAAACGACAATGAGTTGAACAACAACAACGACAATGCGGGTAAGGACTCCTGCTCCAGAGAAAAACACATGGACCATCGCATCGCCCCGGAATGCCTTGCTTTCTTGCTCAACCTCTTGCTGGCCAGAGAGAGGTTCCAAGAAGGTCAGGGCTAATCACGTCCAAGTGATGCTGTCAAAAATCAAAAAGTGATTTGGATAGGCGCCGCAACGGTCCTGCAAAGGAAAACGGGCGAAAGGAAGTAAGCTGAGTCCGTGCTTCCTTGCGAAGGTTCTCTCAGAGCCGCACTCTGGTTGCTGCTCTGTCGTCTCTTGCCTGCCCGACTCGAGGGACCCCCGAAATCGCAACACCCAACAAGGGCCTCACCCTGAGCACCCACTAGTCCAAAATGGCGCAACTCCTCTTGAACAACCCATGTCAAGTATCGTGCAAGTTCGGCTTGCCTCTGGGTGGCTGGGATCGGTTTTGAGGCTAAGGGGTGCCCCCACATTGACTAAGAAAACAACCAGGGGCTCAAATCACCAAAGCACCAACACAACTGGGTATGTGTCAAAACAAGGGACCCCAAAATGGATGGCGTCGTTTTGACGTTCCTCTTGAACAACCCCAACAAGAAGGGTCCCTAAACGCAAACACACACAAATCATCAGTGAAGGGTTGCCAGGCTGAGTAAGATTCCAGCTTCGGGATCCCAAGAAGGGCACTGCCTTGAGGTGGAGAACGTTGCGCAACTAGATCCTTTCTTGGTTGACGTTGGAAGGGGGGCAAAAACTTAAAAGTTAGCAGTTAAGTGGTTGGATTTCAACCACTTAGCCACTATAGGCCCGAAACCATCACAGCCCCGTGATCATTCCCGCGCAAGTCTTTTTGCTTGATGTGCAACCTGTCAGCTGCAAACACCCATGAGCTACAGCAAGAGGACACTTCATTTTCGAAGGCGTTTCCTCTACTCTGGAACAAGAGGAGCACTTCACTTTCGCTTGTTGCTCACAACCTCCGGCTTCGCGGCGAGCAGGCCGCAGACCATGTCCTTCTCTTCCGTGAGCGCGCCAGTCCGAGCCCGATTATCATGGAGATGCGTCGCGTGCAATGTAAATGGATGTGAAATGATGGGGTCCAGTACTTCTCCAGCAACTGCCTAACAACCCTTGCTTGTTTTATGGAACCAGTGCAAAGCAAGCCAGCTATGACATGCAAACACAATACTTTCCCGGGCGCCTATAACTGTCTCCGCTGAAGTCTCAGTCGGCAGCCCTTGGAGTTCGGCACGACAGCGTCCGTCCGGGCGGCGCAGTCTCTCAGCTACACTACCAAGACACCCGCCGCCAGCTTGTTGCCCGAGCGACCTCCGGCTGAGCGTCGAACAGGCTCCAGACCATGTCAATCTCTTCCGTGAAAGTCCGAGCCACATTTTCAGGCGCTCTAGCCATGCATTCCGCATGCAAGGTCATCATGTCCGTGTCACAGTCCTGCAGCATGCGGCCGACCAACAGAGCGCCATCAGCCATGCTGAAGAGGTGGGAACTTGTTGGCCGTGGTCTTCAGGCCGGTGGCCAAGAGAGCAGGTGACAGCCACGCGTTGCTTTTGCGCCCACGTCCGCCGCAGTCTGGCCTCGGACTTCGGCGTAGAGACCTTTGCCAGTCTTGTCGAATTGTCGACAAAGCGCAAAATCATCTTGCACCACCTGTTGCCGCCTGGTCTTGGAAGCTCTGCAAGACTTTCATGCGACGGCAGTTCTCTGCCGTGAGGCGGTCCAGCGATCCTTCCCATTGCGTCACTTCGCTGGTCATAGCTGCGGCACGACAGCCTTCACTAGTGATCGGCAAAAGCTTGGACAGGCTCAGCCACGGAACATGCGCGTGCGCAGACAGTGAATCGGGACGGTTCCGCCACGGCGACAAAGGCTAGCGCTTAAAAAGCCTACGAGCAGGATTCCTGCCTGGCAGGCGTCATCTTGGCGCCGCCCAGGCACCGCGGCGGCGCAGCGCAACAGCATTCCTGCCGGCGACAAGGGCTGGCGCTTCATCTTGGCGCCGCCAGGCACCGCGGCGGTGCAGCACAACAGCATTCCCGCCGCGGCGCTAAGAAAAGCGCCTAGGCAGACTGCCAGCCCTCAGACGGAAGAGCTCAGTGCCGCAGTCTGCCGTGCGCACGATCTCTTCCATGGCATGAAGACTTCCCATGAAGAGGCAAAATAAGGAAATATGTTCTGCAAGCCTCCGCTCTCCTCACGTGATGCCGACGAATACCCTTGTGGCCCAAAGGCATGAACAGTCCGACTAGCCTTGCCAAGGAGTTATGAGAGTCAAGCAGCACAGGCCGAAACGTGATTTCGTGGCTGCGCAGTGTGTGGGTCCAGGCCTCTTGTCTGCAGAGTCCCAGTCTTTGGCATCACTCTCGATGCATCGCAACAAAGCCTGGGCGCACGTTGCCTCAACTAATGCAAAGGGATGGGTTGAGTGAAAGGCGGTCAAACACACGGCATGCATCAAAGACATGGCCTCTGCAGTAGTGCGCCAGCCCCGACGTGCAGGGTAATGCTTTGCATTGCCGGCATGGTGAGACAGCGAAGCGCAGCGATCAGAGCCGACAAGAGCTCCCTTCACCCGGTTTCAAGGTCTGCTCTGGCAAGCGCACGTGAAGAGTCATGATACATTAAGGCTTTGGCATGACAGCAAGCGGCACTGAAGAAGCAGTCTGACAGCGAGCACCAACGAGTCGAAAGCTGGAGTTCCGACAAACTTGCCCTGATTCACGAAGCATGGCAAGTCATTCATTCAAAAAATCTTGCAGCAAGTCAAAAGTTGGAATGCAGAAAAGCTGCACTTAATCCTGAGGCCGGCTCGAGCGTGTACTTGTGGACCTGGCACGTGGAAAGGACAATCGACTGCAGCTGAAGAGGTTCTGCACGGCGGCATCTGCTCCCCGGAGCAGCAGCTCAGCACGCGTTCGAACGCAGCCTTGAAAGGCTCCACTACAAGCCTTGCGCATAAATCGCTCGCTCAGACAATCTTGCAGCAAGTCAAACGCTGGAGTGCAGAAAAGCTGCATTTGATCCCGAGGCCGGCGCGAGCGTGCACGTGTGGACCTGGCACGTGGAAAGGACCGTCGACTGCAGTTGCTTGCCGGCAAGTCTTGGGTTTTTTGGGAGTACACCGCTCCGCCGAAGAGGTTCTGCACGGCACGACGGCATCTGCTCCCCGGAACAGCAGCTGAGCACGCGCTCGATTGCAGCCTTGCAAAGCTCTATACAAGCCCTGCGCATAAGTCACTCGCTCAGACAATCTTGTAGCAAGTCAAAAGCTGGAGTGCAGGGAAGCTGCATTTGATCCTGAGGCCGGCGCGAGCGTGCACATGTGGACCTGGCACGTGGAAAGGACAGTCGACTGCAGTTGCTTGCCGGCAAGTCTTGGGTGCCTTTTTTTTGGGAGTGCGCCGCTCCGCCGAAGAGCTTCTGCCTGCACGACGGCATCTGCTCCCCGGAACAGCAGCTGAGCACGCGCTCGAACGCAGCCTTGACATGCTTCACTACAAGCCTTGCTGCTAGCCGCATATAAGTACAAATATTCGAGCTGTCGCTTTTCTGGCAACTTGCCATGAGCTCGCAGAAAGTTTCTGCCGGGCGGCTGTTGCAGATATGAGGACCTGGGCATCCTCCAAGGTACGCCTGCGCTTTCGGGCCTGTGATAGGCCGCGCTGCGCCCATAAACTTCCCCGCGCTTCGTAGCGAGCCATTTCTGAGATTGAAAACTTGACCTCATCTATACGAAGCCGTCGTGATGGCACTTGTCTGAATGTTTTCTTCAAGGGCAGACGCTTGTAAGCAGACTTAACCACGCTCATGTCCTCGGTCTCAACTTGTCGAGCGTCGAGACCAAGAAGGCGAAAGAAGGCATCGAAGCTTGCCATGAGTTCTAGCTTTGCAACTACAAAGTCCTTTGCGCTGCAGTACGGCTGCTGTGCATGGAGTTAGGCTGACAGATTCGTCTGTCAGCCATCTAGCAAAAGCAAAGAAGCCGTCTGAGACCGGCGCCTTTCACAAAGACCGTTGCCTCATTGCAGCGGCGGGGACGCCACGCATACGCCAATGTTGAAGGCTCGCTCGAATTCAGCTGAGGGCAGGACGGAGACTCCTGTCGGGCGTCCTCACATATGTTTCAGTCAGATTTGCAGCGCTCGAACACGGCGCGTTCGGAGCTGCTGGACAGCAAGGTCCTGGATGAGATCAAGTAGCTGGCCTGACAAGCGTAATCTGCGTCTCCCTCGAGTCCTACAGCCCGCGTCTATGTGACAGCAAGCGCTTATTTGTCCCGAGCATTTTGGTCGCGACATCCGAAAAAGCCATTGCTTCACAAGCCTTGCCCAGCAGGTTCTGCGCAACAGCATCTGCTCCCGGGCACGGCAGTGAGATCATCTGCTCTCCATCGGGCCGCGTCCTTGTGGCAGGATAGGGCCGCGACAGCGGCCGCGCTCATCCGCCAGAGCTGGAGATGGCTCCGGCGCAATCGAAGGTATGTGCCCGCATAGCGCATCTGCAGGTTGGTCACAGCCACGGCCTTAGCGGCTGCAGCCCACATCTCTTCACGCGTCATCTCGAAGCTGCGGAAATGCATCTTGGACGACCAATGCAGTGGAGCTTCATCTTTTAGCACTGATGCAATGGGCTTCGCCCGTGGCCAAAGAAAGTCCGCTACAGCTTGCGCAACTTGGCCAAGGCTTGCTTTGCGAAACCCGTAATCTTCGGCACGCTGGCTCTGCGCCAGACAGCCTTCCGGGACGCTTTCCTTCAGCTGTGCAACGAGCACATGATTGGCGAAGGCAAAGGTCCCTTCGAAGGAGCAGTGGCCGCCTTCGGCAGCTTCTCGAGCGGTTTGACCTTGACTCTTGGGGGCAAAATGTAGGAGGCGAACACGCTGCCACGTTGAAAGAAAGTGCCCAAGTCAGAGCAGGTGATGTCCTTGTACAGGTCGCGAACTGGCAGCACAGCGCTTTCGCTGCTAGTCGATGCGGATCACCTTCTTGGCCATTGGTCGACTCGAGTCATTGTAATCGATGCCCAAGGCAGGCCTGGCTGCGAGGAATACGAAGCCTGCGTGGGCAAGCCTGGCTCTTGCTGGGTCGCAGTCAGGAGTTGCCGTCGCCGATGGCTCTCCGACCTGTCGCGCTTGCCATCCTTGAGTCATGTGAGGGGCCGTAGCAAGTCTAACATCGAAGGGGCCTTTGAAGCAGAGCGCCTGCATGGCCTTCTCTTCGATCACCTTTGCGACCTGCTGCTCGTCATCCACCTTGGCCAGAACCGCCAAGTGCTCGCCGCCAATCAAGACGTTCTCCACTTGGCCGCTCCAGTCTGCAATGCGCGCTGCTGCCAACACGCGGGCAGCGCTGTCGGCTCACTCACACAAGCAGCGGTGCCCGCTCGCTTGCACTTGTTTGTGTCCGGATGGACCTTCGTGCCGCAGCGCTTGCACGGGATGTAGACGGGGTCACCAACCACAGACACCAGCCAGGCGGCACGCATCGCAACCTCGACCTTCTCCTCGTCAGCGGGCCAAAAGCTTGGCGCAAAAACTTGGCCCGGATCATGCTAACATGGACTCGCATCATGCACAAGCAACATGGCCCTGGCCTGCAAAGTACCTTGCGCCATCGCCAAGCCGCAGGCGCACACGTTAGACGCACAGGCCACATAGCAAGGAGACAGGTCTGATGTCAAGCGGCCTCCTGCGCCGAGCGAAGGGCACCAAGGCACAGAGATGGCAGCTTCACGGCTCGCGTCCAGAGCGCGAAGCTTGTCCGCTTTCTCACCTTGCGGATCGTGGTGCAGGACTTCTCACTGTCCAAGAAGTCTTCAGCAGTGGCCTCGGTGTTGTTCTCCCCGCGCTTCAACAGAGTGCAGTTGTCCAACGTCGATGCGCCCCGTCCCATGCACTGCTTCTCCAGCACGCTGAAGTCCGATCGAGCCACAGGAAACTTATACCTTGCGTTGCCATGCTCTCCGGATGCGAGGCCGCCATGTTTCCCAACTACGACCATGCTTTGCTTTGACGCATGCCGCTGCCACTACAATCAAGAAGTCCGCGCTCTTGCCGATAGAGCCGCAGACACATGGGGTGTTGCCAACAGGCAGAACCTGAGAACTGGTAGTTTCTCTCTGGTGTCCAGAGGAGCCTCGTTGAGTGGGCGCAATGGCGACGGAAATGGCGGCGGGGAATGAGCGCCAGGAGTCCTTGAGTCCTGCCACAAAGACTTTGAGAGATCGAGGGCCCAGACTCAGATGGGCGTCTTGTTTGGGGGAAGCCCCCTTGTTTGTGGTTATCCAGGAAACATGCACCCACCATATATCTTGGAAACCAGCTCACGCATTTCGGTGCTGACTCACTCACTCAAGAAGACACAACACTTCAAAGCCAACCAAACACAATACTTTAAAGCCAACAAAAAGAATAATACTGGCCGAGGCGGGCAGCGCGAAGCGTTTACAGTTGAAGGAACAGTTGTCGAAGACTAAGAAAAATGGCTCTGGGTCACAACCAATGGGATCCCATTTTGGGGTAGGTGAATTCACCACCGATTTGAGAACCTGTTTGAGTGGTTGGATTGGGATGTTCACTGGGGGTACGATTTGGCTTTTGACCCATGGCCAAACAATCACAAGCCAAGCCTGATTTGGCTGTGGGTCAAAAATTGGGTAACCCCAAAACGGAACCCTGGTAAATGGAAAGACATGGACCAAGACCTGCGGTCCATATCCTGGTTTCATTTTGACCCATACCCATCTATGGTTGGGGCTGCCTCTCATTAACTTTTATCTACCCGGATGTTAAGCACGTGGCTCACGTAGCTTCGATTCTCTGCGGGGTTTCAGTGCCCGAAGCCTTCCCCAGGCGTCAAAGTGCCAACTTTCATTCAGCCCAGCGGCACAAGCGGCAGCTCGGCCTCAACTTCCTGGGGCCTGCGCAAAGACATGGGCCCATTTGCTGAGGGTTTCCCCCGGAAGCAATTGCGGATTCCCTCAAGAGGGAGGGTCTTAAAGAAAAATCGGGGGCGAATGAACCCCGAAAAATGATCGGCTTCCTGTTGGTTTCCCATATCACCACCAAAGGGAGGACCCAGCGAGCCAGGAGTTTTCTAGAACAAACAGTTCCGCGCCTTGCGACTGCGTCGCCCGCACATATTTCAAGAGCTTCGGATTTTTGCGGAGGACCGTTCTCCGAAAAATTTCGCGTGACGTAGAGAAACTCTATAGGGCCCCCCGTATTCCGAAGTCAACCTTTTCAACTAGAGTACTTTGGTCTCGGTCGGGAAACCTCCGTTCGAGAATTGAAAGTTGCGGCTTTTCCAGGGCAAGCACCTAAACCAACATCACGTCGAAAATGTCCAGCCATTTTTGTCCACGTGGATACCAAAGTAGGATTCCAAGTCCCATGGCTACTTTCTTCCACTCCGATCTTGGGGACCCTATGGGCTTGAAACCAGCTCTGTGAGTTGGCACATGTCTAAGTTTGAGGATATTGCTGTTGGTCAAAAATAGGGCAACCTAAAAAATGGAACCCTGGTAAATGGAAGCATGGACTCAAATCCGCGTTACTCTTGACCCACACCCATATGAGCCAGCGTCAAAGGACCCGAGGACGCCCGGTATCGTTTTTCATGTTTTGTTCTCAGGTCAGAAAGTGCATGACGGTGTTTGTTTCAAGCTGACTCATATCCAGTCTGGTGCAAGAAAACCAAGGGGAAACCCAATGCCTTTTTAACTACTTGGTTTCATGGGCTTGCAAGGTTGTTACGAGCCAGACGAATAGGCGCGCTTTTAGACACTCGGCTCACACCGAAGGGCTGGCACTTGGCACTTGAGTCAAAGTCACTCCTCAAATGAGAGGAGAGGTGGGGACCCTCTGCTGAACATCATTTAGGTTAAAATGTATGGTCCACCATTCGGGAGGCTATTCCTGAGATTGCAAAATTGGGCTTGCGAGTCGATCTTTTGACCTCCCGTTTTCGGATGTTGATTCGTTGGAGGTTCCAGAAGGTTCGCTATTTCTGGGCAAGATCAGCCTTGGGCCCAGGGCTGAGGGAATGTCTTTTGGAACCCGTGGGAAAGATGACCGCCAACTTTCAGATATGCGCTAGGAATCCAGGGGCAAGGGATTTCGCGAGCAAACCTGAGTGAGAACATCGGGAAAGCACAGGAAAGCACAGGAAAGGAGAAGGGTGCGGGTCTGTTTGGGCTGAAAGGACAACGACCTGAACAGTCATCCCATTCCAAAGCGGACCGACCCGATCTGACCTTTGACTGCCCGAAAACAACACATTTTGCTCATGGTCTCAGAGGGTGCACCTTTCCTCCACCTAGTAGGTCGTCCAGTAGAGGTTAGAATAAGGGTTCCCTTATTTCTGTAGTCTAAGACTATTTTCGTAGTGTTGTTCGTTGCTGGCTCTTTGTCATGCTTGCGGACAATAACACTTCTGTGACACCAAGGTTATCAAGTCCCATGCCTATCTTATCGCTTTCAAGGGCATTGGTATCACAGACAGAAGTCCTAAAACCGGATTTCCCACAACGATGTTCTTTGGTCATACGTTTCGTGGGAACTGAGCGCGTGCTTTGGACAGCCCCCAACCCTTCCAATCCAAACGAAATGGTGATGGAAACCACGTGCCAGGTAAAAACCGTACCTTTGCCAGTCCAAACCACCCAGTGCGAGGTTCACTGTGATTCAACCGATTTGGCTCTAACTCATAACTATGTTCAAAACTGGCATAACTGGGGCTTTTCTTACAACCATGGCTTTAAAGTAATGATTGAGACCAGAAATCTGACAGATCAAAACCCAAAGCCTTCAAAGGCCGATTCGCCTTGGAAAGCTGAGCGAAAAAGCCTACATGGGTTGAGCAACAAGGAGAGGCAGGCCCTTTGCGATGGGATGCAACCACGCCGCGGATGGACAAAATGAACGCCGGTCGGCACCAGTTGGGAGTGGCATTCTATCGAGAATTCCTAGGATTTCAAGCTTCATCCATTCCAACTGGTGACCGATATTGTCACAGTAGCAACCATAGCAATCATAGCAACAATAGGAGCCATAGATAGGAACAAGACCCACAGGAATCATAGGAACCATTCCGCTTTCACCCAAGGCCAGTTCCAGTTCTTTGCCGCTTGGGTTGCCAGGTATGTTTGCCTTTAGGTCTTACGCGATGGCTTCCCCTAGTTGTACCAGTTCTCCTTGCCCAACTGCAGCTACTATCCCAGCGCTTTATGTTACCAACATAGCAAGCAAGTAACCAGGGCTTTCTCACCTCTCGGCTTCGAACCATAGATTCCCATGGAGAGCACAGGGTAGGGCCACTGGAAGCAGCACCTGCTCCATTCCCTCCCTTCGCCTCGCATTCCGAGCTGTTTCAGGAGCTTCCCGATAGGCATCCAGCTCGCCTGGCGAGACGTTCGTTCGAGACGCGAAACTTGGTTGACGTTGGAAGGGGAGCAACAATCTAAATGTTAGCAGCTAAGTGGTTGGATTTCAACCACTAAGCCACAATAAGCAAAACTGTAAAATGTTTCCCAACAACAACCATGGAAAGACGCCAAGTCGCGGTTCAGCGAGTCGCGGGATGCGGAATGCCACATGGCTCATCTTTTCCGGCTCGGCACCCCTTTTGGCTGGCAAAGGAAAGGCCAAAAGGACACCAAGCATTCTTCGGGGTCCCCAGAACAAAGGCTCACTCACACAATTGTTGAATTGTCCCAAGAAAACATGATTTGCAGACACGCCAAACCAAACTAGATGGCTAATGCTTTTTCAAAAAAATGAATTGAAGAAGGAGATCGCCAGCGTCCGAGGCTTATAAAATGACTAGGATATTGCCCGTATGTAGGGGTCTGTGGGGCGGTGATTGCATTTTTCTGGGCACCCAGAAGTGTGCCCCGCTTTTCGGTGTGTCCCTCTTCTTCCCCAAGCACGAGGATTTCAACGCCAAGCTCTGCCCCGAACCGCTGCAGCACGCTCGCCGAAGCAATTCCACAAGGAACATTGAGCAAACAAGAGTCTTGCACACATAAACTTAATTCAGTTGTGATGAAATTCTTCCCAAATGCTACCAGCGACGAGTTGTTGCTTTGAGGATTAGCCAGCCTTGATGGATACCTAGTAAGGAACAATTACCCCCTGGTCGATGTTGATGAGGGGCGTCGCGGGTCAAAGCAGGACTGGTTGTGGAATATGACAGTTTCCATGATATCAATATGGGTCATTCCCATGACTTTGTCACTTTGAAGGACAATTCAACCTTGGCTCAAAAGTGGCAACCTAAAACTAAACTTCCAACCTTGTCTGGAATTCGGCCCCAGCAAAAAGCTATATTGTTTGCCTGGTTAGTACAAAACACAGGGGACCCCCCGGGAAAAACAAATGACAAAGGGGAGCTAATTCAAGGGAAGCAACAACCATGAAGGTACGAGACTGAGATGGGTACGAATTGATATGGGTTCACTACATGCCGTTTGCCCTAGACATGTCATCAGCGCCTGCGCTTGCGCCGCAATGCCAGGTCGTTTGCCGCCCGAAGAGTTCACGGACTATGATGTTTAATTCGGGACCCACCACATATTTATCTTATGTTCTTGTCACCCCTCTGGCTTGAGGGAAGCAACCATTGGCAGTTTCGTAAGTGAAACCACGTAGACACGCCAGTTGGCTGCCTACTTCGGCAAACCCAGTGCGCTGCGTTTCTTTAATCATATCGTTATAGTAATTGTTTGGGGTGGTCCCTAGTATGACACAAACCCATTTGGGTGTAGATTTGAATAGGGGACCCTTTGGCAGACATTATTTAGGGTATTCTTGTCAAACGCTCTTGAGGTTCCAATTAGTTCCAGCTCTTAAACTTCAGTCCCTCGACATCCGATGAGGGTGTCAAATGGCGAAACAATATGATTGAACATTTGGGTGTAGAGCTTTACGTCCACTAATGTTAACCTCGAAAAAAATCGGATCATACTAATCAGGGGCAGTTGAACATTTGATGGGCTTCTTTGATTCGTGGTCTCCGGATGTACCCTCGAGACTCAAAGCCAACCAAGGGGTGCGGCCTTGATAAGCACCCCACTTGCGCTGACACCCCTGAACATGATCTGTGCAAAAACAGCTTCTTGGCTGCGCAGGTCAATCTCAGCATTGGCTTTCACTTTGGTCATTTCATCACATTTGAGCGATGGGAAGTTGATTTCCGACCTGCAAAAGAGAGCATATCGTGATTTGAGGCTGCAAGGGGTCCGTTCGCAGCCTACGCTGGCAGCTGCTTTTTGAAAAAGCTGCTGCGCATGAGTGGATTCCCACCCCCTCCACCCAACCACTTCAAGGCCTTGCGGCGGCAAAGAACCTGGGAAAAGGCCCCGGTCCCCGGAATCGTCCGCGAAGATCGATTCTTTCAGCTCCCAAACCACCAGGGGTTGGGATATACAGCCACTAGCTGCTATATAGCCGGACTCGTTGTGGTCTGCACGGCACGGCGCCTGCAGTACCGGTGGTACTGAGGGGGATTTGAAAATCACCAACTTTGATGGCCCGGCCAGGTCGTATACTGTCCGAGCAGCATTGCGCTACTAGCTACTAAAGGGTACATCCCAATTTACCTAGTGGTTTAGGGCTCATGGAATCCATCCGAGAGAAGCAGCACGCACCCAACTTGGACCCTAAAGACCCATCCCAATTTACCCTAGTGGCTTTTGGGTATTGGACTCCATCTTAGACGCACACACAACTCCCTCTCCAAGGGCCAGGGCCCCGTCAGAATGGCGAGTCACACAGCTGAGACAGGCACTGCTCGCTGCTTCGGCATCCGCGCCTGGCCGGCTGCTAGGGATTGTTCGGCCCTGGAAAGGATTTGTCTCTATGGGGAATCCCCCACCCAGTGGTTTCCCGTTCAACCCCAGGGTCAAAAGACCTAGCCGAACAGGAAGAACATATTTGGGTGGACCAAATCCATTCCGCGTCACTTGGTGTAGATCAAAGCCTACAAACAAATTGAAGAGGGGAACCATGCCCAACTGGGTTGCAATCCCCCAACAATGGGCGTCGGTTTCTCTTTACACAATGGGACCCTCAAAAGGTTTTTTTCAGTAGAGAGGTTAGAATAAGGGTACCCTTTTTTTCTGTAGTCTATTTCAGTAGGGGAACCCTCCCCCAAAAAAGGGGTGAGAAAGGGGGCTACTGTGGGCCTCACAGAAGCATGACAACCAACAACTCGACACCGCCAGAATGGCCAAGGGCTTCGGGGTGCTGCTCGGGGATGCGCCCGAATCAAAACGGAAAACTCGAAAATCAAAATCAGGTGCGTCGCAATGAAAGCCCGGTATTAAAATGGTCGGAACCCCAAAACCATGCTTCAAGAAATAAGAAGGCGGAATCCCGCCTTCCAATATCTCTGGCTGGTGGACTGCCCCTTACCAACCTTCATCTACCCGGGTTTTGATTGTGTCTCAGGTTGTCTCGCAGAAAGGGGATCCTTAAAGCCAAAAACACAAGAGTAAGCTAATGCCCCATGAGGTCCTTAAATTTTAGACCTCAATGTGTACTCTAACCCGGTGCTTCCACTAACTTACCATTGTAGGAGGTACCCAGAAGAAGCCACTAAACCTATGACTATCTAGATTACATGTCCGCAAGAAGGGAAACCAAGTTCGTACCTTGACGAAAAGCAGGCCCGAGCTTTGAAACCGGAAGGCAAATCAGTCCAAGGTAGTTTTGGTTGGAAGAACCACAAGGACAAAGAATCACAAAAAGCTAAGAATTGCGGAGCGATGGCAACTCGCAAAAGCCAGTCAAAGGGCTTGCTCGAGAAAAATGGGTGGTTTCGACATGGACGGAGCATGTGCGGCGTGCTCCTGTGGCCAGCTCATGAGTTTGTGTCTGCACACGTGTGGCAGGACCTGGTTCAAGAGCACATGTGCCGCTTGAGCGTCGTGGTCTGGAATCTCAGATACCCTCCCTCCAACTAACATGGCAACTGACAGGGGCTCCCTTCAAAAGGAAATGAATCTTCCAGGTACCTCGCCACAGGTGCCACGTTAGTTGGAGGAAGGGTAAATCTGTTGGTGGCCACCGGGCACTCCTCTGCATGGAGCAGCACAAAAACTCCGAAGACAGTGAGGGACAGCTTGTTCCTCCTTCCGCTTCCTCGCGGTTGCCTCGTTGTGCATCCTCTCAGCCTCTGCTTCTGCCAGCTTGCGCCTCTTCCGGACGGTCCAAGTACCAGCTGAACATGTGCTTAAGGGGTCAACGAGTACATCTTCGGGCATTGGAACGGAAACATCCACCACATTTAGCCCCCCCCCCCCCCCCCGGCCCCCGATGTCAACAAATACCCAGATCTCGCTCAGTGCAGCTTGAAACCTTCTTGGCTGTCCAGCACCGCCAATCTGAAATCCTGATTTGGCGCATTTCAGGCCAAGGGTAATCAGGTCCAGCCCACGTCCAAAGGGCATCCACATCGCACCTCCCGGAGTCTGAATCAGCCTACAAGATGTTTCTTCTACTCACGAAGATCGGCCCATGACAACCCATTTTGAAAGTGCCACGGAAACTCCAAGTACTCAAACTTTAAGCGAAGCCTCCAACCATAATATTAGGGGAGGGGGAGGGGGCGCCACTGCGTGTCTGGGAACACCAGAAATGAGTTTGATCCCCAAGCAAAGGACCTTGGTGAGGCAGACGCATGGAAGTCAGCGAGTCAAATCCCATCAGTGCAGACTCGCAACTAGAAAACCAGAAAACAAATCCAGTGGTCAGATCAGGTCGATCTGCATCGAGCCGAACTGGAAACCTCGAAGCCAACACGTCGCCCAAAGGCGAAGCCAAATCTCCGCGCCGGCGGGTCATGGCTCCCTTAAGACGCCGGGAATTTCCATGAAGAAACCCCAGGCCAAAAGGCGATCAGATTCGTCCAGTCTGGCAATACGTGCATACGCAAAGCGGCCGATTTTTTTTCCAGAGGCCATGACCAACCTTCTCAAGCCCAAGCCGGTGGAAAGCAGGTGGACCTTTGGGCACAAATTCCACCAGGGTGTCCTGGGAAACCAAAAGGAAACCACAACATGAACCTTCCAATTCGCACCGAAAAGAATCATTCTTGCATTTTTGAGCTTTCACAGAATATGGTGAACATAGAGTACATCATTCTAAAAGGCCTTTTCTTCACCGGTCTTGCGGTGGTCCCAGTGCATGCAGCCACCAAAGACCGCAGAAAATTTGGTCTCACTTATCCAGGACTCGTCAGGTGCGACTAGCCAAGAAACGCAATTTGCTTTGGCCCTGGCCGAGATACTGTGGATGGACGAAATCCATTTCGCCCCAGTTTGAAACCATGAATAACCATTGTTTGTTGGTATTTACAGGCGAATCGTCATTCCAGGTTTCTTATGCGGTGCAAGATATCCCAAGAAAGGTGCAGAGTTTGTCAAATGAAGAGATAAGGTCGGCGGTGGGTCAAAAACAGGCCTTGTAATTATGTAGCTGTGGTGTAAAAAAAAGTCCTGGCTGGTGGATTGGGGATGACACGCCGAACTCCGGCCTGGGGAATCTTTCCGTTCCTGAGAGGAGCTCTCTCTCTCTCTCTCGCGTCCCCCATCTGGGGGGGGGGGGGAGGTGCCGTTTACACCCGGGACCCCTTTTTGGTATGCAGGAAGCCCCAAAGGGGCCCGGCGGGGGTCGCTCCGTGTTTTCTTGTCGGGGGGGGGAAAAATCGGGGGAGAACACAAAAGGCCAAAGCCTCGGGAAGCCCCAAGCTTCCATGTGGCTAAGACTGGAAGAAATACACATATTTCACGCAGTGATAGATTTCCCTTGAAAACCAACGGGGGGGGGGAAAAATAAAAAATAATATATATATATATATATATATATATAATAATATATATATATACATAAATTCATTTCAGCAAATGGAAGCAAGCGAGTTGGCATTTCAAGTCTGGGCGCGTGAAAAACAATCGCTCCGCTCCAAAGGCTTGCCCAGACCTCCAAAGGTGGGGTCAAAGGTCAAAGGGGCGCCTTTTTCTGGTGGTCGGTGACTTTGAGGGGGGAACTCGCCCAAAACCTGGGCTGTCCGTTTTGAGATCCCCCGCCAAGAGTGACTAACTTTTAGTGGGATAAATACGGAAATCCAACCACTAAACACTAAAAGGCTTCAAAACGCAAAAAACAAAGAAAGACACAGGGCGCCGCTGGAGGGTGGACCTGAAAAAACACCCATCCAAAACGACACAGGCGCCTTGAGGTAAGCACCGGTAAAGCCCCTGTCGATGGTCCAACTGCAAATCGACCCGAATTTGAAGACATTCGTAGCACCTATCTCGGGCACTCCGCGGAGTTTACCCAATGCGAGCTGACAACACAGAAACCGATGGGAGCGGAAGACCAACCACCCCCCCCTCAAGCCTGCACAACCCACTGACCACCTGAACTGCTCGCCCCTTGGAGCCTCCACATGGGCTCCCTGTATTTTAGGGACACAAAAAAAGGGAGAACATGCGTCAAGACATCCAAAGACCATCCCTCCAAATGAGGCTCTTAGCTTCCCAACCTTTGGGAGTCATTTTGGGTCCAAACTCCGGGGCGATTTGCCTCAACCCAAGGAGTCCTGAAAGAAGGCCTCACGGCACGGATGCCCTTCAAACAAGCCACATGGAGGGCATCCACAAAAGAACATATTTTTGGAGTTTCCCATGCTCCCCTTTTGGGGGGGGGGGGTGGTTTTGGGCTGCACAGATTGGCCCTAGATGCTTTTGTGGGTGGTTTTGTCATGATTGTCTGAGTGGGTTCTCCATTTCATTCTCCCTATACACCAACCCCCAAAAGGGCCCCCACCCCCCCCCCAAAAAAAAAGAAGAAAGAACAAGACTTCGGGCCCCCGCCCCCCGCCCCACAAAAACTGGGCAAATCTTAGGGCCCTCTCCAGAAACCGAGAGCCCTGCCTTGCGTCGGCCCCTGGGCCGGCGGTGGGAAGGGTGGAAACCAGCTTGAGAAACCAAGTTGAAAGTTGGAGCATGGTCCCATGTCAAGACTCCTGGCATGAGTGATGGCTACTTTTTGTGGCAAGAAAAAAGAGAGAGTTTGATATCAAGACAATTTGTTGGGTTGGTTTAAAGGGAAACCAAAGGGAATCCACTTATTTTGAGGAGATTGATATCAAGACAGCTGAACCACGGTTCCAAGGGCAACGCCCGAACCAGAACTCGGCGAATGGGACACGAGCCAGAAAAGCGGCATGAAGCGGGGGGCGAAAGCCCGGTTTGACGCCGGTCGCAGTCCTGCATTTACCAAATGGTGATGATCAAAACTGCAAAGGGCAACCATTTGCCATTAAAAATCGCCGCCTTGAGGAAAATAAGGGACATAGGGATGCAAGATCCTGGTGGTTACATGGTGATCCCCTTCATCCGCGAACGCGAGCCCGGCAGCGATTGAAACTGCCAAAAGGAGAAAAAATGGCCACTCGGTAACGTTGCAAATCGCCAAAAAGGGAGCAACTGACAAAGGACAAGTCACAAACCGGAAAAGAAACACCCTCCCAAAGGACGTTCATGGGTGAGCTCCCAGACCGGTGACTTCGCTATGCCCATAAATCACGGTCAAAGTTGCCGGCTTCCCACGGGAAAAAACAACTGGAAAAGATCAGAAAACTGTTCGGGGTCTTTGTGGGGAAACTTCGAAACGCGTCCCCCGTTGGACGGCTCGGCGAACCTCCGTCCGCGCGCGCCTCGCGCTATTCACGGCGCGGCCACGCACCGTAAAGCGCCGGCGGCCGGATGGTCTGGATTCGCTGCGGAAGAAATGTCAACGGTGTTTTGTTTCCCCACAACAACAAAAGGGGAAACCTAGGGGACCATGAACCACCAACTTTACAGGCAAAGCCTCTGATTCAGCTGGTGCAAGTGAATGTCGTAATCCGGGAAGGGAGCCTATGGAACGCGGGCTTCCTGCAATGCTTCTTCCCTTGAATTGGGGCAACCGTGCCTTTGCATCACAAAAGCGCAAGCCTGGCATGCGTCCCCAAAGAGTCCAAGCAGTGAAGAGTTAAAAGGAGGACATAATGCCTCAGGTACTTGGACCCTTAGAGCATGTCCTTGTTTCAAAGGACACAAAGACATCAAGCCACGGGGGGGCGTGGCCTCGTTTCCCGCGTAGGAAGATGTGCGCCAAACTAAGGCAAACCTGTGAACCCCACAGCAACAGGTGGCTACTCCTCTGCTCGAACCCAAGCAAAAGCGGGCGGGGTCGCCCAAAACGAGATGTTGTTGTTTGTTTTTTTTGCTTTTTTGCGTGCCTGTCTGTGTGTATGTGTTGCCTGCTTTTGGGCCATTTGCTGGGGTAAGCCCCCCAATGGGAACCCAGGTTGAAAAGAAACACCCTGACTCCAAGATGATGCTTCACTTCATGCGGAGACACACCTTCCAGGAGAAACACAGCTCGGACTTGTTGGGGTTCTCCACAGTGAGTCCCATTGCGTTGGTCCTTGGCTGTTCCGGGCTCGAACATGTGGCGAGGGTCTCAATTCGGGCGATGTTCCAGGAGAAGTTCCAGGATCCGAGTGCGCAATGCTAGTCCATGAGCTCAGTGGTTCATGGCTGGGGGCTGGGGGCTGGGGACCGCCAGGCGACTCGGATGGATTCCCCGGTTCTTTCAGCCGAACACGAGGCACCTCTTCCTCCTCGTCACCGAAGCTTCTGAGGAAGAATCCTGAGAGGCCGCCCTAGGCCCGTGTCCATCGCCCTCAAACTCGCCCAGCCCAGGGCCGTGCCTCTTTTCAAGGGGGATGGACATGTGCCTTCAAGACCGCTTTGGATGCTTTTGGACGCTGGGTCCGTGTGGCGGAAAGGCCAGGAAACAATGAACCAATGTTCATATCCTTGTTGCTTCCATATTACTCATCTATCGCTTAGATCACTGAAGTCACCATGTATCCCGCGGGGTCGGAGTCTCCCTGGCTCCTTCAAAGACCTCAAAAACGCATTGCTAACCTCGGAGTAATCCAGAGGCCTACTAGTCAGTCTGACAGAGGAAGCCTCAAAAAATGTTTGTTTCCGTACTAAAGGGGAACCACCCTTGATGGGCACAGTCCTCCGGTGTCTTTACCCAACACCTGCAGATGTCATGTTGCGCCCCCACTTCAGAAAACGCGGGGCCCACGTCCCCGCCACGCATCATTTGCCTGATATGCATGAAGGGAACATGAGCGCGGAAAACTGCCCTTCATCGGGGGTACGATCCAACCCCTTCCCCGCAATACTGAGGGGATGGGATCATCTTGTTGTCCTCTTAAGATGCACCAGTTCCGTTCGTCTTTCCCTGTTTTCATGGGCCCTCGCCCACTCACCAACATCCAACCCCAAACCCATAGGCGTCCCAAAGATCTACCATGCAACGATTTGAGTGCTTCAGCTTTCACGCCGCACACTGACTTTGGGACATTCGAGCCGCTAGCCGAAGGCCGAGGCAACACATCGTCAAAAAACGACGCTAAGGGCCCTTGTCTCGACACACGGCATGAATTGCAGGGCACCCGTTGGACATCACGTGAATTGATGTGTTTGACGCCAACTGCTGATGGACGGAATCCTGCACCAGTTGGTAGGTGGGTTATCCCAGTTTTCATGGGCTTTGTCCATCCGTTTGTTTAAGGAAAGTTCACTGAGCCCCTCCCACCAGCAGAATCCACAGCGTGGATGTGCCTTATTGCGACTGTGACCTAAACAACCAGCCCCCAAACTGAGCGAAAGACTCCACCAGTCAGGGACGGACTATCAAAATTTGCTAATTATGTCCGCAACTGACATGGGACTTGGTGAGTAACCCCCATTTCCCGATGGCAATTTGGTGAGTCTGCCACATGTCATGCCCTTTACTACAGTAGATGACAGCAAATGTTGACTGTTGCTCAATCCAAACCTTAGTGGTTGCGATCCCCGGACGGCCTCATCCGCCAGTGCGAAGGAGTGAAGATGAGACGCTGAGGAAGAGAAAAGCTCCCAGCACCGAGTACCCATGCCAAAGCAATTGTGGATCACACCACGCAAAATGAGGAAGAAATCGTCCCGATTGCTTCCATTCAGGAGACAGCTAGGTGGCCGCTGGAGAGGTCCTGGCGGTACTGTGGATGGACGAAATCCTGCACCACCTAAGACACCCTGGAATGTTGATTCCCCTGTAAATACCAACCAACCATGGTTTCCCATGGTTTCCAAGTGGTGCAGGATTTCGTTCATCCACAGTATGCCTAGGCAAACCGTCATCACTTGGAATCTGGACGCATTCTCCAGGCAGCTGCCCGGTGAAACGCCAAAGCAAAAGAAATGCGCCCTGAAACAGCACCGCCAAGTTGGGAAGCTTGCATCATATCGCGGGACTTGCCGCGGAGAAATCGAGCGAATGTCCAACAAGGGCTGTGTCCCTGCGCGGCTCTGAGGCCAACCACGGGTGGTTTTCAAAAACAAACAAAAACCTAGCAGAAAGCCAAAGGGAAGCCACTAAAAACAGCCAGGGATCTGTGGACACATGAGGGGCTCGCTTTCTGCCCAAAACCCGACCTACACCGGTCGCCCGCCTCGTCTGCTTGGCCATCCTGGGCGAAGCGGGTCGCACGCGCAGCCTTTCTTGGCCAGTGCTTGAGGGTTGAACACTGGTAAATGACTGGTGCGGACGTGAAGCTAGTGCCGCGAAGTTGTCCCAAAACTATTCTAGACAAAACAAGCAAGCAAGCAAACAAACCAAGCAAGAAAGAAGCAAACAAACAAAGAAGCAAACAAACAAGCAAGCAAGCAAACAAGCAAACAAGCATACAAACAAGCAAGCAAGTAAACAAGCAAACTAGCAAACAAGCAAACAAGAAAACAAGCAAGCAAGCAAGCAAGCAAGCAAGCAAGCAAGCAAGCAAGCAAGCAAGCAAGCAAGCAAGCAAACAAGCAAACAAGCAAACAAGCAAACAAGCAAACAAGCAAACACACATGCTTATGCATTGGGCTGCCTTTGAAACAAAAAAACACACCCAGTAAGACCAAACAAAAGGCTTTTTTGGTGGCTGACAAGGGAAGCCCGTGGCAACAGCAAATAAACAATGTTTCGTCGTTGGAAAGGGGGCGCCCGCCCCCTTTCAAATCTGAAGAACAAAACCTCTTGGGTTGAACCGAGGAGTTGGTTGAGACTAGGTAGACCCTCCCACCAACCAACAGCAAGAACCTGACGTAAAGGGGCGGGGGCTGGTTTCGACCATGTTCCTTTGAAAGGGACCGGGTCCCGAACGTCAGGTTCCAGGTGAGTCATGTGAGTCACAATCAAAACCCGGCATTAGAATATTGACCCAGAATCATGAGGAAATACAAAGGCGGCCGCAAGTATTTATGGCTGGGATTGTCCCTTACTAACCTTCAGTTACCCGGCCATGGGTCAAAATCCCGTACCACGCGTGAACATCCCAATCCCAACAAAAATAGACTAAAATGGGTGGTGCACCTACCCCAAAATGGTACCACTGGTTTTGACCCACAGCCACCCGGGATTTGAGCACGTGGCACATGTCAGTTCTGGGCTGTCCTCAGATCCCCCGCTAAAAGTTGAACTTTTAGTGGGCTAAATGGAAACTACCACTGAACACTAAAAAGATCTAAACGGCTAAGGAACCGGATGGCTGGGAGCCACCAAGGTGTATACGCTAAGCCCCGTTAAATGGAAATCCCGTTAGTTGGCAAAAAGTTGCTCAGTCCTAACATCCAAGCAAAATGCACCTCTGAATTGGTGGGTATCTGAGGCCTTTTTGCCAGCGCCGCCCTTTTTGTTGGTGGCTCCGAGGCTGGCACTCGCCAGTAGCAGTCCTTGCCTCAGAGACAAATTCGCGGGGGTTGCTAGGTTTCGGTGGCTCGGCTCTCGCTTTTGGAGGGTGCCGCCCCGGATGCTTGGTGTGTTTAAAAAAGCCAAGGGGAAAACCAAGACGGGTGGTGAGTGTCTTTTCCGGAAACCAATGGGAAAACCAAGATTGTTGGGTTCCCCTTGAAAGAAAAGACAGGCCCACATCCCAAAGCCAGCTGTAGAAACGGATCCCCCAAATCAGCTGGTGAGCCAGGGAGGCGTTGCAGCCTTCAAGTGAGTCTAAGGGGCCAGTAAGGAGCATATCAGTATTGAACATACCAGCAAAAATCCCTGATTGGCGATGACCCTGAAACGAACCATCTTCGCTGATCACTGGGGTCTGGATCATGCGAAGTCCACACCAAGATGCAAGGGCTTACCAAGCATCGATCTAAGGCCTCATGATGACCCAAGTCCTCATGATGATCTAAGGCAACCTTCACCGCACTTAAGACCTACGTTTGGCAAATGATGCGCTGCAATATGTACACGGTCATGTGGGCTGTGGGTGTGTGTGTGTGTGCCGTGGAGGATTATTTGCAGCAAGTTCGAGGAAGTTGTATTCTAATGGCAAATCTCAGTGTAGCAACTCAAAATACGGACCCCCGCAAAGGGCATACTGATCATGAGCGAGCTTGTTTTAGCTGAGATCATGTTATTTTGCGATGCAAACTTTCCCAGAATCCAGGGTACGGCTTGGAAATGAAACTCAAAGAACGAAGAACACGCAACAGGGGGGGAATTTGGGGAAAATCTATCCGAACCTTTCTAGCGCATCTGATATCTGGGTGCTCAGAGCCAGTCAGTTTGTAAGCCAGCTTGCAACACACACTCACAAGCTCGCCCGTTTCAGAGGGCAAAGACCATGGTAGGGCTAGAGCTTGAGGTGACTAAGAACACACACAAACTGGGCTGGACGCTCAGCTAGGAAGCCCTGTCATCCACTCAGATGCCCAGGAAAAAAAGGTGGCATTGTTGGTTGGTTGACTTGAAAGGGGAACCCAAAACCCCAAAAACGGAAACAAGGGCAACACTGGGCAACAGAGTCCACAAACATGGAAGACTTGTGCAACATCCGAAAAACAACTTGCCTTCTGGAAAGGGCTTGGCCCGTGCAGCAAGCCAAGTTTGGTTGTAGGCGACGGTTCTCTTGATTTCTCTTTGGAAACAACTTCAGGGCATCAAACTCTCTAAGTCCCAACGAGTCGCACATACCCCCGTCGTGTTGTTTTAGCCAACCTGCAAAGACCCCCCAACCTCTAAGGCCTTGTTTGGGGGTGTCCGTTTTTGAATCCTTCTTAAGGTGGGCTGAAAGGGAAACCAAGAGGAAAACCAACATTTTCAGGGTCCCCCCAGGGCTTTTTCGGCCCTATTGGCTTTCTTGGCCTTACTTGGCCTTACTTGGCCTTCATTGCCCCTAGCCATGCCCCTAGCAAGGAGTGTTATAAGGGCCCTAACTGGTATTTTGGGGGATCATTTCCTGATTTGTCCGGCAACTAACTGAACACCAAGAACCACCAAGAACGATCCACCGACCCATGTCTCGGGTGGGGGGGGGGGGGGAATCTGCTTTTTTCGACTCGGGGCCCCCGGCAGAGATCGAAGTCGCATTCCTGCCATCCACTCATTGTAGGGGTACCTTCCATTTCCATTTTTTCCAGGGATCCTTCTTTCTAGAAAACCTGCGGAGACCCAAGGAAAACGGCTGGTTGTTGGAAGGAACGATGGTTGAAAAGAATGGGGAATCGATTCCAAAGCCTGAAATGGGTGTCGAAAGAAGACACACCCAAAAAATGAATTGCATCTCCTGGGAAAGGACCTACATCACGGCTAAGCGATAGGTTTACCGAGTCCCGACATCAGTGGATTCGCTGGAAACTTATCAAATAGGCAAACTGAATGTTCGAACTGCTCCTGTCTCAGCATGTTACCCTTCAACAAATGGACAATCCTGTCCCCAGGATCTCTAGGGTCCACCTAATACCAGCCTTGACTCGGTTGCTTTCTGCCCTGCTAAACGTGTTTTTTACTTTAGTGGTGTAATACGGAAAACCCATGAGTTGTTGTTTAATGCGGAAAACCCCTAAAAGTTGGCAAAAAGTGGTTCAAAGTGGCATGGAACCCGAAAAAGCGGCTGGCGGCATGGGCTCCCGGCATTGATCGTTCATTGCCAGGGCTGCCCCCCAAAGATGCCGTGGGTGGCTCGTCTTTTGGAGGGACCCCTGCTTTGTGGAAGTGGAAAAAGGAGGAGAACCAAAAGGACGACCACCTCCCCTGATCAGTTCAGGCCGGCGTTCAGCTTACCAGTTGGTCTTGGTGTGCGGGTCGCTTGGCTCTGGGCCAACGATCTGGTCTTCCATCTCCTTTTGGATCGACCCAACATGATGAGCACCAAGCACAGATCGTTACATTACGGTCCAGATTCATTAGTTTACCCCAAAGTGTACTTAAAAACAGGTCGGGAAAACAAATAAACAATTCCCCTTGTGCCAGGCAAGACCGCTCTTTGAAAGCTACAGGCACTTCTACAGTGACTAGTCTAGCACATGATAGCACCTGATAGCAAGCATGCCAGCGCCAATCCCAAGGTTTGCCCACCCCCAACACTGTTTTAGGGTTTATCTTGGCCTCCAGACACATTTTCGGGCGCGGGAGGGGGGCGGGAAATGACCACTTCAGTGATACAACAACAAGAGCTTCCCAGACACTCACCCCCCCTACATAAGAGGGGAGATTCAACCTTGTATCACAGAAGTGGCTGGAAAAGCCCAGAGTGATCAACCACAACCCTGACAGTGGGGGGGTGGCCCAACCTCGTGACGAACGGCCACGCGGCCGCGCCTCGCAGCGGTAGCGCTGCTGGTGCGCCGTGTCGGAGTTCTGCGGGGACGGGTTCGGCGCTTCGCTCACCCGCAGAATCCCCACCACTTTTTCAGAAAAAAGTCCGAGTCTCAGATTCCTGAACAAAAAATATATGATTCTCAGAGTCTGATGCATGTTTAGCCTGCCCGAACATATATAAGATGGCTTTGGAGACCCCAAAACTGAACCCTGGCAGTTTTAAGGCTTACTCCCCAGCAAATCAACAAAAGCAACCCAAAACGGGCATCCTGACATCAACCTCAGCTTTTGACCCCCGTGTTTCTGGAAAAATAGGAACTCCCAAACTGGTTGTGGTTTCCTTTGAAGTTCCCTTGAGAAGCACATTTTGCGGGACTCCTCAAAAAGAGACACACCCACATCTCGCAAAGCATCACATGGCCTCAACAACCGCGTCCAACTCTTTCAGGAAGGCCTCAACCCGGGAGATGTTGAGGGTGCCTCTAACCACACTCCTCACTTGACGTTGAAACCAGTGGGCTGGGCAAAACCTGTATCTATATAGATTGTCATGGAAACAGGAAGGGTATCTCGTGTTGGGAAAACAAGATGTAACTGGCTAATCTGGTTCACTCCCTCAGGACTTGGAAATACAAGACTAAGCTGTGACCCTCGAATGGACCACCAGAAAACACAAAGGTTGCAGTTGCGTAGCACATGACGCAAGATCCAATTTGGTTTAGTTACAACATCGTCTTACCCAGGTAAAAGGAATTGCACCATGTACTTTCACCCTAGCGAACAAGGTTGGCAAGTGAAACTTTGATCCCGACTCCAAATAGTCCTCGCAGCCGTCGCAGGTCCAGTCTTTGTGCCTGCACGTGGGACTTTTGCCACTTATGTCGCAAAATGGGTGAGTCTCCAAATGGGCCCTGGTCACAATCACCTAAGAAAACGTGATACAATCCCAGTTTGTGTGGAATTTTATGTGAGTCGCCCGTCCCTCCCAACTGCACCATAGACTGCAAATGTTGACCGAACCTCACATAAGGAACGCCCCAGGGTGCTTTCTCGGTCGCCTTTTTAAAGCAGAAAGCACCAGGGACCCAACCATTCGCCGCGCAGCTGCCGAATGGTCCCTTTGGGCAGCTGGTCAAAGGAAGTGACTGGGGTCATGGGGCAACACCTTTTTGGGCACAAATCGAAGGGAACCAAACCGAAACCAAGCCATGTTCAGCGAGGCACTTCTCCTAAGACAAAGTGACTTGTTCTGATTCTGGGTTCAGCAAACATGAGACGGCACGCAATCTTCATTGGGTTCCTAATCCCGCTAGATGCTGGCGACGTTTCACCGCAAGTTCTAACGTACTCAACAGGTGTTTCGCGAGTGTACTCAATCTCAACTTGTTTGCTACAACTGAGGAGGTGGTCCTTTGGCACAAGTCTGGCAGAAACCATTGCCAATTCCAGTCGGCACGTTTGTCAAAGCACGGTACTTACTGTAACAAGGACCCCGCCCCGGTGACTGTGCATGTTGACTCACATTGTCTCGGCCTGAGCTTGGCATTTGCCCAAACAGTAGCCCAATGGTCGTAACACGTGATTTATCAGGGAAGACCTGGTTGCCGATCTGGACGTCAGGACCATCTGCTGTTGGTTGGATTCTCCGAGATGAGCCTAGGGAGAAAACACCCGCGTTCCCCATGTCAAAACAGTATGTGCTTTAATTAATGCATATTACGAAAGCCAGATGCGAGTCACTGTATTGTTCAATGCTGGCAATCCCAGGCATTCGGTGGTCATGGAAAAAGGGCCACTTTTTTCTGCATTTGCTTTTAAACGAAACCTCACCATGAAAGTCGAATACAGGCACAATCCACTTGAGGTCTCGGTATCACCAGGACAAGCGGGATCAGGATGGCCGAAACATGTCCCCATATTTCGACCCGAAACATCACCGCGCTAAGCAGAACATCCAGGTAACTTGACCCCAAAACCAAGGCCAGAAGATTTTGACAGGGATCCTTACTTTATACACCTCAGAAAAAGCCATGGTTCAAATGGGCAAAATGTATCTTTTAAGGAGCCCTGTTTGAGGCGTCGCAAAGTCGTTGCGGAGTTGCCATGCCTGGACATTGCCCAGGGCTCCAGCAGGTGGTCGTTGTTGCACCGCGGCAACTGGGTGAGTTGCACTTGGTGCCCCCACGTCGGAGTTGGGCCGCCCCTTTAAGCACGATCAACTCGGGTGGAAGTCCATACCCCTGGCTCATACCCCTTGGCTTCCCTGGTTTCCAACTCACTTTACAAGAGGTGTATATATACCCCTTTTAGGGAGAGGGGTATGAACATCAGCAAGCTTGTTGAGTTCATTTGCCCAAGGCGTATGTAAAAGGGGTATGTACAAGCACCCCTGGATCAACCCACTTTTGAAACCACCTCCCTTTGGTCTCCCCTAAGGTGACCAGGGCCTTCAAACAAAACGAAAGCGGAAGCAACTCAGAAAGAGCTGAACTGACCCAACCGGCTGCTACCTGAGCTTGGAACAAAAAATAAAATAAAAACAACTAACCCCATTCGGGTGCTCGTCTACATGGGATATTTGGCCAGCTAGGCATGCGCATCTGAACCTCTGAAGCCCTGCAGCCCGAACCTTGTGCTTCATGCGCCAGTCCCTTTTGCGGCTCCAATTTTGGGATTCCATATGAATGAATCAGAGGCAAAACAACATGTCAAGAGCAGACCATTTCGGAAGGAAAAGTGCAGGAAGCAAAAACAACTCCCCACACGTCATAAACTCGGGGCCCTTTAAGATATGATGTTGAAAGGACAAAATCGTACCCTAGTTTAGGACACGCACGAACACTTGGGTTTGGTTTTCTTTTGGTTTCCACTTCGCACCCTCAACTTGGCAGTGTAACATTTGATGGCCGGGAGGCGTTCTGGGGGTACTTTCAATGGCGACCAATAGAGAACTGGAGTCAAGGCCCATACGCACCGTATTTATTTCAGAAAAGAGCGAACATGTACAAAACGTTCGTTCCCAAATGTGTTTGAAGAATACGATTGGGGAAACTTAGATGTTGCCAAACGTTGACGCTGTGTTTGAATGCTTTTTGAACATGTACCTATGGCTGATTCTCGATGATTCAGATTTCCGTTGGCCTCACTATAACCCTGCTTGGTCGTAGAACACCCTATCATGGCCAATGGGGATTTTGGGCACTGCTCAAATCAGTGGCAATGATGTGGAAGCAGGCGTGTGTTTGATTGAACCTTGCCGGGATGTCTTCGAGGGGAAAGGACAAAGATCCCCATGTTGAGAGTTCCCTCAACAAAGGCCTCAGAACATCCCAGGATTCAAAAAACATTTCCTGACCAATGGCCATCCGTTACTTGGCGCTGGCCTTTTTCAGGTGATCAGCTTCCCTTTGGAGTGGTGGTTTGGAGGCTAGGGCGTATTTTCAGGTGAGGGAACCAACACATGGGCCTCGGTTTTCTGGAGTTTCCTTTGAAACCCCAGGGGTACTGCCCAACATCGGCCAACACATCCTCCCGAACATCCTGCGCCTGCTCGGCGTCAAGGTTGCTAGGGTACCCGGTCTGAGTGAGCCGATCGGGACTGAATGGCGAGCAAGTCCAACCCATTTTGGGTTTAGTCATGCCCTGTACTTACAAAGAAGGAAACTCCAACCCAGTTTGGTTTAGTGTCGTTGTTTCTCGCGTTTGCCCAGTCATATGCCAATAGCTGGGGTAACTGAGGTTAGTCTGCTTGTTGCCATGGTATGCGTTCTGGTGTGTGTGGGTTGAACATTTCAATGCGACTGCCCCCTAGGCCCAGTTCCCCTTTAACCATCGCCCCGTAGGGAATGCACCTCTTGGCCTAAAATATGATGCTCAGAACCAACCCAAAAAAGTGGCGGGCGATCTTTCGGTAGGCAGCCGAGGGAGAAGTCCCAAGCGGTTCTTTGTCGGGCCCTTCGCCCAGGTTGATCAATCTTCCCTTCGGCCCCCAAGCAACCGTGGGAACCTTTTCCTATTTAGCGTTTTCAAGATCAGCGATTTCTTGGGTGGCTTCCCTGGTCATCCCGTGAGGACCTTTGGATCGAGATTGCATTGTTGCACTATCGTAATTAGGCATGTTGCTTCCCAATGGCATGTGGCAAAACTGGGCTTGCTATCTCCAGACAGGTGGTGTCTTTTTGTGTATGCAAGCTGTCACAATGGCACATAACCCAGTCTCTTTTTCCAAAAGGGATTGGGTATGTGCCAGGGACTTCCATCCCCTTCCTTTGATCCCTGTGGTGGCCCTTGCCATCCACAGATTTAAAGTCGGTGTGCCAAGCTGTTTGCGCCAGCAGTTTGCGCCCCGCTCTGCAGGGCTCGAGGCACCAGGCAGAAGGGGGGCCAACCAACCAGAACAAAAAGGGGATGAAGTCTCCCACCAACTCCGGTCACGGGAGTTTAGGTGGGTCAGACACTCAAGTCGAATGTTTCCCCACTGAGTAGGCGTGGAAGAAACCGAAAGTCAGCACAGAGAGACTGATGACAGACTCTGTGCTCCATGGAAAAACCAATGAAATCCGGGTGCGTCAGTTCGTCAGCCCAGGTGTTGAATTCCTAGGGATGTGACTGGCTGCTAAAGAGCAGCTATGCCGATGGAGCATCAGCACCAGCTCCATGAGAACCGCCGCCGTGTAGGGCTTCTTGGAGGCCAGATTGAGCATGGCCATCACATTGCTCGGTCCGATGCTTGGTGCGTGAAGGCTGAGGTGTCCTGCAGGGAGCTTGCGTGGGTCTCCTTGGTCCTTCGCTTCTTTTGCGGCGGCGTCCGGGGTCATGGATTCTAAGGCTGGGGCTACCCGGACTACTATGGCCGGCGGGGTGCTGCTTGTGGTTGCACCGCCAAAAAAGAACTTGACCCTGGTGTGGCGTGGTGAGTTGGGCCACATGATGTAGGCCCGTGTGACCCAAATTGAGGAGCACCGTGATGCATTGGGACTGCTGCTGCACTCTGATGGGTTGTGTGGGTGCTCCAGGAATGGCAGCCAGGCCCTTGTAGGCAAGAGATGTAAGGTACATCTGTCTGAGCATGAGGACGCTGTCATTGTCCACACCCTGGATGTCCGTCTCCGAGAGGCCCGGAAGTGAGGATAGATTCTCCTCTGCCCCTCACTTAGGGCGGGGCCCCCGGTTTGGGAAACCATCAGAGGATGCTCCATGTGCGGCAGTTGGGCCCCCCTCCCACAAGGAGCACCTTACCCACTGCCGCCAATGAGCACGCCAACATGTCGTGCGTCTTCCTCCAGACCCGCTGGAGCCTCCTCTGGTGGCCGGGCGGGCCCCGCTTCAGCCATCAAGGTGTGGGTGGGCGGGTTTTCAAAGAGATCAAAGATCAAATTGAATGCTTGAGCCAAAATGGCAGAGCCATTATGGCCAAGCATTGCAAGACACATGTCATGTTTGCACATGCGTTCCAACATTAACAAAGTGTACGCAAGCTGTCACAATGGCACATAACCCAGTCTCTTTTTTTAAAAGGCATTGGGTATGTGCCAGGGACTTCCATCCCCTTCCTTTGATCCCTGTGGTGGCCCTTACCATCCACAGATTTAAAGCCCCTGCGGGGTGTGCCAAGCTGTTTGCGCCATTTCCGAAGGACAGCCTGGCACACCCGCCATTTCCGAAGGATGACCCATCGGGACCATGGTGGCAAGACAAGGCTACCCTCCAAGACGATCCAGAGGGGGGCTTCCCAAGAGTTTGCACTCACTAACCACAGGACCTAACCAGGCACCCCTGCAGGGCAAGAGGAGGGAAATCCAATTCAAGACCCAGGCCGCTTTTCACCCTCCGACTCAGTGTCCACCGACAGATCCAGTGTCAAGCGAAGAACCCGAATCATTCGGAACATCCCCAACTTCTGATGCTTCCACGTGCCATGACGGAGGAAACCCATGACGCCTGAAACATCGCTCACACTTGCCGTAGGCCCCGCTCCGAAGTCCAGTCCGTAACCAAGAGGTCCAGCACCTTGGATGCGGTTGGTCGCCAGCCACGTCCCACGCCACCGCTGCCACCCAGAGAGATGGTTCCGCGTATTCCGGGAAGAGGTCCTTGGAGATACCCTTATCCTCCCTGGCTGCGTCTCCTCCTCCACCAACCCGGGACGGTAAGCCTGCGTCCGCAGCAGGTTCTTTGTCCGCCCCCCTCGGTGGGATCTCCTCCAGGTTCACCTCCCTCACCGGCGGGTCCTCCCAGTCCGGGTGCTCCAGGTCCTCACGCCGCTCCCTGCCCGGCACCAGATTCAGGCTGGGCACGCGGGTGGCCACATTCGTCCAGATGTCGACCACCACATTCCTCTTCTCCCTAACATAGACGTCCGCCGTGCTCTCTGTCAACCAGTTGTCCAGGTACTCCATGTCCTGATTTTTTTTCTCCTGGGTGAGCCGGCGGACCATGTTCACAAAAGGGGTCCACCAGGGAATGCCTGAGAAAGCGAACTTCGGGGCAATGAGCGGCACGGGCTGCCGGTTGATCTTAGCAGCGGGCACCGTCTTTGTCTGCCTTGAGTTCCACCGTGCTGCTGGTGTGGGCAATGTGCCTGGACATGCTGCAAGTCATTGAAGCGGGCGCTGCATCCTACCTGCAAAGCCCAGAATGAGGGCGTGCAGGGCTTCGTACAAGACCAGGGCCCGAGGCACCAAGGCACTCATATCCAGCTCCTTCCTCCAGCGCCCAGATCACCTCCTTGCTTCACCGGCTGAGGCAGCCTGCCCAGCGCTGAGCCACCAGCCTGTGGAAGTAGTCTGTCGGGACGGTAAACTGATCCCCAACCCCTGGCAGGGTTAAGCGGATAGCCGGTTCACCGCCCCTGTCTCCTTCTCTGGAGACCTTCAGACACATCACTCCATCCTTTTGGCGTGGCGAGAACCCCTCATCTACGAGGGTATCCCACAAAAACCGAGGTATCCTGCCCCAGGCCCTCGTAAACGGGGGCCGCAAGACAAAACGCTCGGAAACTCTCTCCATCCCAGAATCTGCGAGCGAAGCTACGAAAATGGTGTAAGGCAACGGGACTGGCGGGGGGGAGACCCTTTCTCTTTCTTTTTTTTTTTAACAGGGGGGGGGCCCGAAAGAGGGGGACCCAGTTCGAGACCCCAAACCACACGCCCCCACCCAGTCAGATGCGCACGGTACATGCACTCCGTGGCATGAGGCTCTCTCAATTCGCGAGATCGATCCTGCTTGCACTGTCACTCCGCATGTCGCAGTCAGTCCAAAGATCACCTCTCGGGGGGAAACTGGCCCTTAGAACCACCATCATCAGAAAAAGGGGGGGGAGGAAAAAACCCCAACTCACAGCATGGCGCCGTGCTGCCCCTTTTTGTCACACTGGGGCCGCGTCGAGCCGTCAGGCCTACACATGGGGCATGGGCGCAGTACACACGCCACTGCCAAAAACAAGCTTGCGGATATCCTGGCTATTGCTGCGAAGATGGTCAGTGGTCCCCACCCAAGCACCCCCCGCCAAACGGGCTCCCCACGATCAGGGCTCGAGGCACCACGATACCCAGAAAGGCAAAACGAAAAGGGAAAGAGGGGAAAGACTACCGCACTCAGGGGGCCGCTCCTTCCTTCTGGATGGCCTGCTGGGCCACCTTCTGGATCTCCTGAGCCCCGCCTTCTCACTGGGCATAAAGAGAATCCGGGGGCTCATAGCACCACCGCCTGAGTCTGTGCACTCGGCCCTGGCCCAGAACACATGCCTTGGGGAAGTGCCTCTTCTTGCAGTCCTTGCCCGCAATCGCCGTGACGTTGGCCGTGGTGATGGGCGGGTAGCGCCTCGTCCCCTGCTCCACATTCCGAAGGCCAGTGTCATTGCCGGCCAGAAGCTTGTCCTGGGGGTTCGTGCCCGCTGCCGCGGCCCCCCCAGGCCCGAGGCACCAGCGGGGGCGCTGCAACCAAGGCCGGTGATGGCCTCGTCCGAGTACCCCAGCTTAGCGTACAGCTTGCCCGCCACAACTTCTCATACACGGTGGGGAAGGAAGCCAGCGAGGCCAAAGGAGGGAGATGCGCTCGTCACATACCGCCCGGAACCGCAGCGCCTCCTTGCTGTCATGGACCTCTGCCACGGGAAGGTCGAGAACCGGTGCCGGGCAATTGGCAAGGAAGGTCTTCGCCGCCAGCATCTCCCGAAGGATCACTGTCACGGGGCTTAGGCACCCCCAGGGCTTGCAGGAAGGGCAGGGCGTCCTTCTTGGCCTGGATGATCTTCTGCGCGAAGCCCGCGTCCTTGCCTGTGGTGCCGCGCCTGGTGCGGACCACCGTCAAGGGAAAGGGAACCGATCAGGCTCGGCAAGTCCCAGGTGCGGACCATCCGCTTCCAAAACTTGCCCTTGTGCTCCGCCCAGAAGACCCCCACCACAGCCTCCGCCGGGGGGCGCAGCCCCTCAGTATAGATGATGCTCGATCTTGTTTTGTGCCCAAAGGACCATGGCCCTCCTTGGCATCGGCCCTTCCCCCAGGGCCCGAGGCACCAAAGGGGGCGGGGCCTGCCGCCAGCTAGGGCATCTCCTTCAGGAACTGTGGCTCGAAGAAGGGATTCTTCTTGGACCTGCTGGATGTGGGGGATGTAGAGATTCTTGATCTCCGCCACCTGGATGGGTCCTGGATGGAGAAAGGCAAGAAGAGGCCCTTCTCCAAGTAGCCCTGCATGTCCTTGGGCCACAGCGTCACATCCAGGCCTGGATCTCCAGGTTCGTCTTTTTCGCCTCCTCGACCGAGACCATGGCCTCATCCATGGCCTCCACCTTGCGCAAGGCCCGGGAACCCTCGTTAGCCACCAGCTCCTCCGGGACGCTCTGCATCTGGATTGGGGCCAGCACCGCCTCCGTGTTCTCCAGCATCTCATGCACCGCTGACTCCTTCCGGCGCTTCCGCTCCTGGCCTGAACCCGCTTCTTCTCGAGTTGCTGGAACAGGGCTGCCTGCGCCGCCTGCGCCTCTGTGATCTGTGGGTGGTAGACCGCAAAGGACTGGTCTTTTCCTCCTGCAGGGTGTGCTGGACCTTGATCGGCTGGCCCCTCTGCTCCCTGAAGATCTCCTCGCGGATGCTCACCCTGTGCCTGGCAGACACTGCACCGGCCATGGTCACCTCCTGCTCCCCCAAGGCCCGACCCAGACCAGTCACGTCCCCTGCTTCTCACCATCACCAAGAGACTCGCCGCCGGGGGGGGGCGCCAGCAGGGCTGGCTGGCTGCTCTCCTGGATCGACACCGGCTTGCCGTCGAGGATGGTCAAGCGCCACTTCAAATCCTTGACCTCGTAGGTGGCCGACGGGCGTTCGAAGGGGGCCGACTCCTTAGCCTGGCAGAGCCAACAGGAGGTGGCCTGCGCCGGCCAACCAGAACCCTGGGCCTTGCACATCCGGACATAGTCGGAGGTAGTCTGAGAGCCCAGGCCACCCGTGTTCCGTTGGAACTGCTGACGCCAAACATCCTCCTGGCGGCCCTGGGCCTTCATCGGAATGTAGTCCTGGTGACAAGGCCCTCACTCAAGTCCTGCTCCTTGATCTTGTGGAAAAGCGCCACCAACTCCCCCGCCGTGACACCGCGGATCAACTGGGCAATGTTGCTGGGGATGGCGGGGAACTTTGCGGGAAGGTCCACCAGGTGGTAGTAGCCCGCCTTCTGCTCGGAGGCAACGAGGTCCGCAATCTTCTTACCAGCGTCTGGCTCTCCGCTGGTGCCCAGTCCTTAGTGCTGCCCCCCTCCCCGACAGGGCCAGACGCACCAGGATCGGAGAGAGTGGCTGGCTGGCTGCTGAAGCCCACCGTCAGCTTGTCCATGCACTTGGCAAGGTCCTGCATGGCGACCCCTAGGTCCACATCCTCGGGGACGTCCTTGGAGAGAAGACAAAGCCCGGCACGGACGGCTGCGTCCTTGGAGCGGCGGGCTTCGGCCTCCGCGTCTGCGAGCAAGATGTCTTCCTCCGTCACCTGCTGTTCCTCCAAAACTTCCATGGAGGAAACCGAGCTGATGCTGGATGCCATTACAACAAAAGGGGGGGATGAGAAGGCTTTGCTATTTTTCAAAGAGATCAAAGATCAAATTGAATGCTTGAGCCAAAATGGCAGAGCCATTATGGCCAAGCATTGCAGACACATGTCATGTTTGCACATGCGTTCCAACATTAACAAATTAAATGTTTGGGGAAACATGAAAAAGCCTCGAAGAAAAAGCACACCCCAGAGGGAAACTACTGACCCAAGCAACTTTCGGATTTCTCTGGGTGTGTTTGCATGGATTTCAATTGGGAAAACAGCTTAAACAACCACTGCAAGGAAAAATACATCCTGAGAGGGGAGCAACGGCCGGGGGATGGTTGTTCTTTTTGTTGTTGTCACGTTGTTTCGTTTTGCTGTGTGTCTATGCGCTGTTTTCTTGTTTGTATTGCTTTTGCATTTTGTGTTTGGCTTATTGGTGTCGCCTATGCTTTGCGACACCCTCTCTATCTGCATCTGTGTTTGATTGCAACAACCGTCCTGCGTCAGCATGTGGCTTAGCACATGCATTCTCACACAAGTGAATGTCCAGAAAGTATGTCACTGTCTTGATAGGCAGCCAATGGAGAGAACTATCAACGAAGTCGCAAACCACGACCCCTTCTCTCTGCACAAGTCAATCTCTGGCGTGCATCTGATGCAGGCATGTGGGTTTGTCTTAATTTTCGGGCAACCGAACGTAGTGGTTGTCCGTTTTATTTCCCCTTAAAACAAACCAAAGGGGAGTCCCTGAAAAACACACACACCCATTTCCAGACAGATTGAACCTTTCTGGTTTAGACGTTTCTGCTAGAGGACTCATGGCGACCGCTTCACCAAGCATCAAAAGACTTTGTCTGACCTAGACAAACAGGAACCACCAAGGGACGTGTTGATGCTTTCCTTTTCTTGAACCAGGTGTAATATATTGTGGCGCTGCATTGGACGACACGTTGGGCTTTTGTAGCTGTCTCTCAATTGCCCAAAGGTCGCAGACATCAGGGGTACTTGCTTTGTACCTCTTCGCACGCCAAGGTCCTGTGCCCTCTCACGAACATGTTTGAGTTGGTGGATCCGCTTTGCTTTGGGACACCAAAAAGAAAAACAATGAAGCCGGAAATGGTGGTAGTCCTTTTCGTTTCGCCTTCAAACAACCCAAAACACCTTCAATAGAAACCCTACATTTTAGGGACTCCTATGTTCAGAAACCCCCCAGGTTTCCGTTGCGCGCCAAGGCCCCAACTCGTACCCGAATGGGCGGCCGGCGGGTGAGGTCCGTCCTGGGAGTTGGCCCACAGAACTTTAACTGGACAATGGCATTCATAATCTCCCAGATTCAGATTCAAGGAAAAATCCCAGAATATCCAGATTCAGGTTAGTTCATAGAAACGTGTTGGAGACCAAGGGTTATAACGTAGGGGTTGGCGACCTGCAGGGTTTGGCACAGTGTCATATTTAGCTTACACAAAGCTTTGGAGACCCCCAATGCTTGTGGTCCCATTTTAGTCAAGAGTTACGGCGGGACTTGAGCTCCAATTTGTTATGTGGATTCTAGTCTTTTCCCCAGCGAAGGTTTCCAGAGCCGGGGAATATCGCAACCAGTCGAAAGGTACCAAAGGAAACCCATTTCGGCCCTGGAACCCAGCAAGGTAAAAGTCATTTTGAGTGGGTGCAAAACAACGGGAAGGTGGAACTCAGGTGTCCCAAACTGCTCCCTTGAGGGTAACTCACCGAAAATCAAGTGGTTGAACCAATCAGGGGAAGTAAAGGGAGCCCAATCGGCGCTTCTTCCAAAGGGGAAGGTTACGAGTCATATCCCAACGAGTCGACAAGTTGGAAGGGTCCTTTCCTGGGGCTACGACCAACCTTCATGACAACCAGGGGGGATTGCATAGTGGAATCTTTCGGGTGGGAAGAGATGCCGGTGGGAAGAGATGCCGCTGTCCACCGATCGATATTCCAACTCCGGTGGCAAGTGCTCCAAAGCATTGGATGAGCATGATGAGCCAATCTTAGCTTGTTGCCAAAGAAATCACGAAGGGTTTTGGGAATGAACCCGTTGGGATCCCCTGAAAAGAAACTACCAGTGGATGGTTCACAGCGCTTCGAAAACGAAACAAGTGTCGTTCGAATGCTTCCTCACCTTGAACCTTTGGCCCTGGGCAGTGAGTTGCGACGGCATGTCGCCGGCAGCGTACTGCAGAGCCCTCAACAGCTGTTCGCAGCCTCCATCCTATCGAACCATAGGGGACTCCGGCTTTCTAGGCTAGTTGGTCATGGGTGCCCATGTCATGCCTGATCAGTAGATAACTTGGACCTGTTCTTGCAAGAACCATCCACACATCACGGCGCGCGCAATTTCCTGGTGTCTGTGTGTGCGTGTGCTCCGCTTCCAAATGACCAACAAGACTTTCGTGCGGCCCAGATCTGCTGTGGATGAACTACATTCACCAGCACCAAATCCCCATGAGCCGCAGCCTCGGGTTTCTTACTTGCCTAGTGGCTTCTTGAGGGAACGGCAAGCAAGGAGCTGCCCATTTGGTCTGCTGACTCGGAAGGGGAAACCCAGATTGAGAGAGAAGCAACCCTGTACACTTGTCCACGGAAAGCCCCCAAAATGTGGGTTTCCTGGGTGGTCTTTCTGTAAATATCAACTAACTACAAGGGGCAGAAGCACAAAACGCAATCTTTGAAGGTTTGCCGGGAACAGGTCTTATGCGGACACACAACCCTGGCTTCTCAGCCACAAGGTCTGGGGAAGTTTCACATCAATCCCCTTTTGCCTTCCCTTTGTCCAGGTCATAGCCCTTTGCGCCATATGCACCCTTTTTTGTTGCCCTTCAAGAACTCTTCCAAAAGGCCAACTCATTTTCGGAGGGTTGCCACCTCATCTGGAAGTCCCCGTCCTAGCATCCACAAAACGTGCCGTGCGGGGAGGCGCAAGGACCAGAGCGTCGATCACCTGGCGAAATCCGGCCTCCGCAGATCGGAGTCCAGGAGACGGGCGAAAAACCCCGGAGGCTCACCCGTGTTTCGCTGGTTGAACGTGAAAATGCGGGAATTTCTGCAATCTGTTTGCCGGTTGAACGTCACAATGGAGAAAACCCGAAAGTCGACTTGGCCAGAGGTCTGGCGATGGAAACAGGCTCCTTTCTTGGAGGAACCACTGTTTGTTGAACAGCCAACCATATGAATTAAGGACCCCATATCAGGTACTGTGTTAGTGGGAGGGAGTGTAAGGTCTAAATCACTGGATTGGGGTGCCCAAATCTAGTCACAGTTTTGGGAGCAAGCTATTAGGTGATGGTTAAGCAGGCTGGAACGGGAAATGTGGGCGTGCCTTTTTTGAGGCTACCAGTTCCATCTGGGTTAAAAGATATGCCAAAAGGAACACCACCATTTGTGGGTCCCGTTTCACACATAATCTTGACCCCGGATTGACAAACCCCTGTGTATTAATATGTGGGTGTTCCGCTCCAAAAGCGATAAATCCCCACTAAATCCAGGGCCACCCCCCATATTCATCAACAGCGGCTTGCTAATCTGGGGCCAACCTTAGTCATGTGGCCATGGGTCAAAATCCCGAATCCCGTCCCCGCCAGTGAACATCCCAATCCAACCACTAAAATCCAGGTTCCAAAATCGGTGGTGAATTCATCTAATTACCAACCAAAATGGGATCCCAAAACGGTTTTGACCCACAGCCACATGGAAGCCTCAAGTAGAGGCGCTTAAAGGTCAGCTCGTTGATTTCCAGGTGATAAAAAAAATCGGCAGACAAACTGTGGATGTTCGGTTATGACAACCACAGCCATGTAGCGACCCAAACGAAACGAAACGCCCAAATCCAAGCCTGGCGGGACCTGAGGCTGGGGTTCATACAGGCGAGCTCCAGGGCAGTGCGGGTCCTGGCAGAAAAACGAAAAGGCGCCCTTTGCGATTTTTCGAAGTCTATGTTGTTTTTCAATATAAGCTTCGGATTGATGAGGAGTACCGTGGTTCCACTTGAAAGGACGTCTGTTTGCTTGGTTGCTGTTGACCCCTGCAAAAAGTCTGACTTCTTCGGGGTTTAGTGGAAAACCCCACTTGATTTCAACCAAAAAGATATATAAAGTCTGAAGATCCAACCCAGTAGCAGTCAAGCTTTGGTGGACATCAAATTTCGGGCACTGAACTGACGGGAAAGGATTTGGGTGTGACTTTCTTCACTGGGTACAATCCGGGGGGACATCATTTCGGGGACTGAACTGGTGGTTTTGTTTTGGGGGTGTGAGTTTTAACTGGGGACCCTCTGGTGGATATCGTGAAGGTGGGAGTTCATGTCCACCAACCTCTCGGGATCGGGAGGGTATTCCTTAAGAAACATCATAGGCACTTAGATGGTCAACCCATATCAGGCAGGTAGGCTAGCACTGTTGGCACTGTTAGCACTGTTGGCACTGTTAGCACTGATAGCACTTGTCCAGGAACAAAAAGGCAGCCTAAGAATCTTGGCAAATCTTGGCAAAATCCAAGCCAGTTCACAAAATCGGGAAATGTTAGGGGAACCTTGCTCATGGGCGAGTTCAGATGTCCCCGGACAGGAATGACTTCCATTTGCTTAAGCCCCCTGGAAAAAATGAAAAATGTTTCCAGTAGTGATCGGTTCCCTTTAAAACCAACAGGGGCAAATTAAAAATATTCTTAAACAAATGCCAAATGATTGTTACAACTTATGCAAATGCAATGGGCGTAATGATTCCCACTGATTCCTCCCCACCCCCCACCTGTCAAGGACGAGGTCTTAGAAAAAACTGGAAATCGCGCACGGCGCCAGAAGGGCCTGGTTATTGTCCGGAGTCCCTGGCTGGCCAAGCAATACTGTGGATGGTTGCGAAATCCATTTCGCCCCACGTTGAAATCGTGGCAAACCATTGCTTGTTGGTATTTACAGAGGAATCCTCATTCCAGGGCTTCTTGGGTGTTGCAGGATGTCGTCCATCCACAGTAGGAAAGTAAAGGGACTTGTGTTTTCGTTGATCTTCCTGCGCTGGAGAGTGCCAAGAACTGGCTAGTTCGAAATCTCGTATCTGCTCACCTGATCGTTGGCCGTGCACTTGTTGAGAGGGGGGGAAGCGCAAACTGTGTGGGAAAAAAAGAGAACCCCTGTTTTGATTGTACACGGAAGCCACTCAAAGCAAAGAAACCAATCGGC